TATTACCGTTGAATTCGTATCACACAGTCATTCTCGACGGCGTATTCAATAGGTTGCATGATGAGCATCGGTTATTCCTTAAAGTAATGAGTTTTCACATCGTTTTCTGTTTCTGGGACATTGTTGAAGTTAAACATAGACGTCTGGATTGTTCATGGAATGGAAAAAATTCAGGCAGCGTCTTAGCTGGCAAGGATTGGAACATTCTCGAAGTATATATGTGACGATCCGATGTTGACGAATCAATCAGTAAGAGAGTCACATATGATGTTTTGGATTGCATATAAAACTGGTAATATGTATTATGTGTAAATGACGTTCAAGAAACAACATGAAATATTTTCATCAGAATTGTTCCAAGTAATTTTAGTTCACATATTTGATTTGCAAATTAAAATTTTAGTTTATGTAAATGACGATCTCTATTTTTGTTATATTTAAATTTCAATCAAATCTCAAATAATCATATGATGTTATATATATACACGTTTTTTTCTTTATATATATATACACACACAGATAAAGCAACATCCACAAAGATAAAACCACTTAACATGAGAGAAGAATTCAACCTCACCTTTATTTCTTTCTCAAAATTCTCCTAATTAGCATATATTAATCGTGTATATTTCGTATCATAATTATATCCATTATGTTGTAATTAATAGAAAAACATCCGATCCTGACACTCGAAAGCTATTTATATTTATTGACTTTATATTCTTATTATTTTGGAATGTCCCGTACATATAATAATTTTTTAATCATTGACTCATCCTAAAATAAACAACACAACAACAAAACTTTTAGAATTATCAGAAAAACACAAAGAAATCTGGTTGAGTTTAGTGAGATTGGCCATACAGAATTGATAACTTGGAGTGGTGGTGGCTGTGAGATCGTATACAGCAGCGCGAGGCAAGGTATCGAGGCAAAAATCAACTTCTACGCTTTTTACGTGATCAAAACCCTACGTCTATGATTTTAGAATTTGTGTTCATATTACAATTTTGGGGATTGTGTTACAGGTTATTTGACAATGAAGAAATGAATAATTGAATATTAAATAATATTTAATAATATCATTTGTATTATTATATTATAACTAATTTTTTAGAGATCATAAAAAATCTATAATAAAAAAACTTAACGACACATATAATCTTTCACATCTTAATTATTTATACAAATAATATAATAACTAATGATGATTTCACAATAATCTGATTTAAATATCATTTTTTATAATATTTATATCAAAAAATTTTATAAAAATATCATGAATATAAAAATAATAATAACCGTGCATCGCGCGGAGATATATCTAGAAATGGTAAAATTAATAAAATATAAAGAATATTTTTTTAATATAATTAGTATAACTATCTTATTTGGAGTAATATAAAGGAAAAAACTTAAAACATAATATATGTTTTACTACGGAAGTATATTAACTCCTAAATGATTATATATTTCTGTTTTAGATTTTTTAATTTTATAACTAATTTAAAAACAAATTAATTAAATTTAATAAAAAATATACATAACCAATTTTACCATTTCTTTTATTTTTAAAAAAATATATTTATATATTCTCATTTATATATTTTTTTTTTGGTGTTTCAATAATTATTGAAAATCTCTCCCTAATAGATTGTATGAATATATAAATTTATTTAATAACGTTTTAAATTGTTTAATGTGAACACTATTGTTATTATAATGTAAAATATATGCTTAAAAGATATCAGAAAAACATGACTATTATATTGATTAAATATATATTTTACCGTAAAAAAATATATAAAATTATATTGATAAATCGTATTCAAGACATATACAGAAATAATTTTATAATATAATAATATAATGATATCTATATTCTTTTATTTTTTCACTTTTTATATATATATACAATTTTTGTTATATTCGTATCAATAATTTTTTATAACAAAAGAACAAACATTTTATATTAACAATAAAAAAAATAAACCGCGCATCGCGCGGTTATCTCCTAGTTGATATAGAAGTTATAAAGATGTTTTTTATTCAACCCTAGGTACAGGGTATGCAACCAATTGATCGTATATTACCCATGTTTATATTGATTTGAGTTCATATTACAATATCTATGTTTCACTTCCATATTTTCTTTGGAAATACACACACACACACACACACATATATATATATATATATATATATGAATATAGACATGGAAACTTTTCGAATGGTCCGTCTTAGCCTCCACATTTTATATAAGATATAGAAATATGCAATGTTTTTAATTTGTTTCTACGGGCAAAAGGAAATAAAAGCGGGATGTTTTAGTGTGCATGTATGTATGCATATCATAATTGCCTAAGGTGCATGGCATATATATAATATATGTGCATGTACATCATCAACACGCGAATAGGAATGTTTATCGCTCGTGTTTATGCATGCAACGTGGCAAAATATAAGTGGCCGCATAAAGTGGTGAAATGGACGGCTGTGAGTAGGTGAAGTGGATGAGCTGTCACCAATCGAAGGGCTGAGAAGAGGGGACTGTATCCTCCTCTAGCTTTCCTGCGTTTGTTTATTATATATATATATATATAATATTATAATGTATATACAAAGGCGATAGTGACAAATGGCAATGACGAAAACGACATGTTCTTGATGCGTTTTAGGTCCCACGTCACATGGGGGAGTGGACCCTACTTCGCAGTAGAAAGAAAATAAGCTACAGTGTGGGTCCCACACTGTGAAGAACAGGACACGTCATACTAACCAACGATTTCATCTGTTCCCATTAGTTAAAACAATCAGATATCAATGTAATGGACGGATCATTTTTTAAGTGGAGAATCTCTAAAATCCAATGATTAATTTAATTTACATACACAAACGGAAGAATTCATCGTATTAATTTTATTTCGAATTTATTAACGCCATTTTTGTTTTTAATTTCAAATTTGATAATATGATGATTATATTACTAATTTTTGTACGAATTTGGTTTACCATTCATTAAAAATTAACAAAAAAATTGTTTGATTTAAAATAGTAATAACTTCTTTTATTGTTTTTATAAATTGATAACAAGTAAATAAAGAATATATATATATCTCATCGATTCCTTACCACTTCATCAATGTTTTGTCGTTTTTTAATTGCAATGTTAGTTTTGCTATGTTTTTCTATCGGGATACAAATTTATATATAGTTATTTCTTTGTTTTTATTATGTTTTTAATAATGAAAATTTAAATTGTTTGTCTTTCTCGTTTAAAGTACAAAAATGACAACAATATATTCATGACAAAAGCTCTACAATGCATATTTTTTTTATGTTAACTTAACTATAAAATTTTCCAACCTTATAATCATTTTCAGACGTGGAATCGAAATGCATGCAACCTTTTTTTTTACCGTTTTTTAAAAAATACTAATGAAGTGATTTTGGTTTTACATTTACAGTTTAAAATCACGTTAAAAAATGAAAAAAAAAAATAAAGACGGGATATTATTAGGATAAGATAAAGACGAAAATTTAAAATTTAATAATGTGATGGACTATTGCGTCGCGTCATGACGTGAATTGCCTCAAATTCAGACACGGAAAGCTTCTGAGTGTGTCAGAGGGTCTCATCGTGTTTTTGTCAGATTCACCGAAAATCATGCCCCATGCCCCTCCCCTTCACGTACGAGCAAACTCACACGGACGATACTAAAAAGAAAATAAAGCACTTTATTTTTAGATCATAATCATTCCCAATTAAATAAAATATTATTTTAAACTGAAATTTATCAAAAATCTATGTTTTAAATGAAAAAGAATTTGCCTATATGATATAGCGCCAAAATGCACAAACAAATCCATACTTTCCCGTTGTTATTTTTACGTCATAATGTAAATAAGCGATATATATATATATATATATATATATATGAACACATTTTAAATAATGTAACCCTAGTTATAAATATATTTACAATTTTATATTTTAGTTCGTGAAATGGGATATATTTTTTTTTTGTGAATTTTCCTACGTGGAATGTGGAAAATAAATATAAAAAAGGTGGTAAGATATAAAATTGGAGAAAAGTCGTGGTCATTGGAGAAAAGCTGCGGCTAAGGAGAGAAAAAAAACTCTCTCCTCTTTTGATTTTTTTTAGAGAGAGAGAGCCAATCATGTGGCTGTATGCTACGGCTCTTCTTTTTATTTACTTTCCTCTTTTGTCCTTTTCCTTTCTTCGGCCCCATTTGTTTCCGCATCTTTTGTCTTTTTCCATTTCTGCCCCATTCCTTTAGAATTCTCACTTATCGAGCCCCAAAATACAAATTCTTTCAATTCCCCCCCTCGAGCCTATTTTAACTTGCTATTTACTACAATTCGACAATGCTAATTATGCTACTGCTCTTTTCATGTTCTCCATAAGATTTTTTTAGCAGATTGTGTCGTTTATGTTTTATTTAAAATACGACCATTATTGTCTCATATTGTTACATATATGACATCCACTATATATATAACTCGTAAACTATACGAAAATATTGGTTAGTAAAATCATCGAGTACTAAATGAACTGGTAGGTTCTCACGTTTTCATCACAGGTTACAGTCCAAAAACAATACATATACCATCCTTTGATGTCACTTAACATATAATAAATAAAAATAAATATTGTTTTTAATGAACGATTATCTCTACAAATTAATATACTAATGAAATCCTGCTAAGGTATGAGGAAATTATGACGGAATCTTTGCTGAAATTAATTTATTTGATGTACGTAAAACTTGGACGGATTTTTTAGAATCTTTACTATTCAAAGAAACAAAAAATCGAATATATTAACCGTTATATATAATCCTACGTGTCAAATGTATGCATGCATTATCGTATTTTAGTTCTTTGATTTATTTTCTTACTTCGCAATGGGAGAAATTGTTGTATTTTAACCTTTTTGGGTTATTAATTTGTAACGGTAGATAATAGAAAATGGCCGTTAATCTCGAACGTGGAATTTGATTATGTTCCTTAATCCCTCTACTAATGCTTTGATTACAAGAAGCAATAAACGAGAGACCGACCATAATTACAATTTTACCCTAGCTGATTATTCCCGCGCTTATCCAACCCTTCCTTATTTCTTCACCCTTCGATTTCGTTGTTATTTCCAATTTGCCCTCCCTCTGCCTTGCCGTCTCCGTCGAAATCTACCATTTTTTTCGTAGAGTCGTCTGCGCGTCGGCCACCGAATTTTCCGCGAATTCTCATCGGAAATCATTTTCAGGTCCAGTGATCTGCGGCGGAGTACCAGTGGAGAGACGGCGGTTGTTCGTCGGAGAAGAAGCCGCAAGCCTCTTCTCCGCTGAGGAAGTCGTCGTGCTCCTCCGTCTGCTCCGTCTTCACGAACTGGAAGAAATTGCCGCCGGAAACCGCCGCGGGTTCCACCCTTGCGGTGGAGCTGCTCTCCTCGTTCACGATGGCGCTCGAGTCGCTGCTATCGGAAGATCCGGCGTCGGCGATGGCGGCTACGGCTGCGGCGGAGGATGAAGCCGCAACGTGAGGGAGGAGATCGCGTAGGTCGGTGAAGCTCCGGTAGTTGAGATCGGCGGAATGATCAAGGAGCGGAGGAGGAGACGATGGCTCCGTCTGCTCTAGGGTTTTGAGATTCCTCTCCGGCAGCGACATCTCTTCCTCCTTGACCGATGCATCACTCTCCGTCGCACTGTTGTCTTCTTCTCCGTTTATCTTAGCCTTCAGTTTAGCTATCTGAAACCACAAACACATCGATTAGCTCCAGGAACGCATTCTTCGATCTGAAATTCGAATTGGGTTTCCATCGATTTGAGAATATAAACACCTCTTGGAGAAGCGCATCGTTGTCACGGCGGAGAGAGTCGAAGCTGAGGCGGAGGGCGTCGTATTTGCCCTTGAGGACGCCATAGTCCTTCTCGAGCTGCTTCGTCTTCCACCGGGCGCGTCGGTTCTGGAACCAAACCGCCACTTGTCTCGGCTGAAGACCAAGCTCTTGCGCCAGCTTCACTTTCCTCTCCGGTTCGAGCTTGTTCTCTAGCTCGAAGTTCTTCTCCAGAGCCTTTACCTGGTCAACGCTCAATCTCCTCTTCTTCTCCGACAGACCCACGTGGCCGTTTCCCGAGTATTCCTCCCCCATGGCCGCCTCTTCCTCGTAACCCTCAAGCATCGTCTGGTATTCTCTCGCGTACCCTCTCGGACTCTGCTCATCTGCACGCCATAACCAGAACATGAAGTAATTACAAAGTAAGATCAACCCATTTTTCCGTTCTCCAGTAAAACCGGTTCTTTCACTGTCAAATTCATAGTCGAACAGATCACGGGGGCTTTGGGAACTCTGTTGAACTGGGTTCGTGTGGTTATGTAACAGTCAGGATTGTGCAGAAAACAGAGAAAGTGAACGATGAAGAAGATTACGTGGGTGTGTCTGAAAACAGGAAAAGAGAAGAACAAAAGTGGTAAGAACCTGTAGAAGTAGTGGGGCAGACGGAAATCAGACCGCCAACAGAATCTGAGATGCTTAGTCTCTTCATAGCCCAACAGCAATTATTCTTTCTTTTATGACTCAGATGATGATCAGATATCTCTTTGATCTCAAAGCTCTGGTTTTTTTCTCTGGGTCTGTCCCCTAATTAAATTCAGTGTTCATACATTGAACTTATTATATTACAACAAAGATCTGAATTGGGTATCATCAGATCTAACACCGAACACACTTCCACTGTCCTGTTCTTGTTTCTTCTCCTGTGACCCCCTCCACATGAACCCATCAACAAAGAAAAAAGGAAAAAACTTTGACAGAACTTACACTGGAAAAGTGCAGAGAAACAGTTCGAGAAAGTAACAGAGAAGAGCTCTCAACTAAAACGCAACCTAACCCAATAGACCCTTTCGGCAAACATGGAGATTTTATATATACAGAGAATCCGAGAGAGAGAGAGAGAGAGAGAGAGAGAGAGAGAGAGAGAGAGAGATGCTTCGTTTCATGAAGAAGCTGGTTTCACACTTACTCTCCCTTTAAATAAACCCGGCTTGGGTTGAAGAAGGGTTAGAATCTAACTGGGGTTAGGTTGATAAATATAGCTGTTTTTTTGGCAAATGAAATGTACCTAAAATTCAATCCAAATTGCAACCGGGAGGGTCCACCGGCTATAGCCAGTTGCCTCCAGGTCCTTCCGGTATCCCTTTGAGTGAGTCATGAACGGAATGGAGTCGCGCGGCTCGGCTCACTTTTTCGTCAGCTCGACTCAGCTTTTCTTTTTCTCTTTTTTTTTCCACGAAAGAACGGAATCTGCGATACGTCACCGTATCCTCCTCATGATATGAAATTGCAAATGTATCAGAGGTTATTTAATTACCTTTATTTTTAAAAAAAAAATTGACAAACAAACGAACTACGTAAGAAAAGATGCGTCTTCATTTTTTTTAGTAAAGACATGGATAAATTAGACTTTTGGTTCTTGTTTCATTGGGAACAAGCTATAGTATATTTAATATTATACGAATAAAATATATTCTAATTTCAAATAAAATTATCCGTTCAAAGCACTGATTTTAAAAAGGGCAATATGAACGGACTATATCCCAAATCCACATCTTCTCTTCATTTTCTTTCCCTTACAACGATCTTTAGGGGTTTTTGTTACGTATGCCATTTCATCTTTTATGAACATATAAATCCTCAAAACATTTATATGAATTATGCAAATCCATAATTGATAAAAAACAAAATAATCATGGTTTGGTTGAAAACCGATGATGATCTTTAGAAGTTGAGATAGATGATTTTCACCACCACACACAAAAAGAGAAACCCAACAACATCAAATCATATAAATTAATTACTGGTGATTGCAATATATATATATATATATATGGGGTGAAAAAAAGTGACTAGGGATGGACATTTCGGCACGATACCATAGAATCCAACCATACGGAACCGAAAAATGTGGTATCGTTTCCAAAGCGAACCATCCAAAATTTTTGAACGATAATTTTTTAGAAACCGAATTGAACTGAATTTTTAAAAAACTCTAAAACCCTAAAATTCTCTTAAGAAAAACCGAAACGAACCGAATATAAAATAATAACCGATCGATATATTTTTGTAGAAAGTGAAAATTTTCGAACCGAATACCGAAACTTCGCCCCTAGAAAAAAGACATTTTGAACGGTTGAATGAGTTTAGGGTTTGGTTCTTTTGTATTCTCCAAACAAGTTCATGTGTCCTTATCACCTACATTGTTTCCATCTCAAGAGATAAAAACAAAACACGAGCTGTTTCCCAAATCCTTTCTTAGAAATGGACAGTTCCCATTAGGAGAAACCCAAAAGAGAAAAACACAAAAAAAAGGAATCTAAGATATGTAATAATGGCAATGTAAATAATCCACTTATCATTTTAACTCGAAAACTTCTTCCTCTAATGATTGCCCATTATTGTATTTGGAAAATGATGAGGTGGGAAAGAAAAAAGGCGAGATCTTTAGATTTGTGTTTTCAGATTTGTAAAGAAAACGGGGAAAAAAAAAGGATGGATTTTTTTTTTTGGTTGGCGGATCATAACGATGAAATCATTATCCAATCAAAAGGCTTGGAACTAAACTGCTCAAGAAGGCAGTGGAGGAAGATTCTGCGGATTTGCCGACATGTGATATTTTATATATGAGTTCATCGAGGATCATCATTTGGTTTCCAAGGAGATTGGATTTCCTCCTGAAAACGATACGGTATCATTGGAAGATCTCGGACAGAAGATTACCTAGGGAGACTGGAGATTATCCAGAAAGGGAAATATCCCAAATCTTGACACGTCAGCAGCAAAAAAGAAATAGTGAGATCACTGCATGGTCCAATGGATTTGGTTCGTGTATATATACATATATATATATATATATGTACTCTATAACTCAATATATTGATTCGATTGAGCCAACTTTTAGAGTTAAAATTTTAAAACTACCAAAATTGGGAAGAAACTAAGACCCTTGGGGGCCGAAACGATAGAATTTGAAATTAGGTGGAGTAAAATGCAATTAAAAGAAGATGACAACCTCCTTCATAGGCCTACAAATTGGACTATGGCGAGTTCTTGTTGTATTGGCCCATTAACACAAACAATGGGCCTACTGTTGGATCACCACCAATCAATACATAGTATAATGTTTTTATTAATAGATAGATTTACACATGCAACTTGGTTGGATATGGCGCATCTGAACATGGGTATCGATATTATCAAAATATTGATATTATTATTAAATGATATCTCGAAATTTCTTTTGAAAAAAATATATAGGGATCAGAATATAGCCCAAGAAATCGAAGAGAAAACAGGAACATGTATCCATATTTTGTCATCATAATGGGATGAAGACGAGAAATGTTTGGTCGTGTTGGGAGATTACGTGTTCTTAAGAGTTTGTAAAAAAAGATAACACAAACGTTACGATGATGACTCCTTTTGACCGGATCCAAGAGACAACTTTAACTGATTGTGTTGCCTTTTGTTTTTTTTAACTGTTCCACTTGTCATCTCCTACAAGTGGAAATATCTTCTATTCTTATCCAAACTCAAATGCAAGTAAAAGATATAAGAAGAAACGCCCTTATTTAAAAAATAATATCAATTTATTTAATTATTCGATACGGATTATGTATGTGTGTGTGTGTACGAAACGTACGTTTGGGTAAATAAAAGTAATGTATTTCCAAAATGGGAAGATGAAGTTAAAATGAAACAAAGAACATATATATATATATATATGTTGTCTTATTCAGACAAAAAAAAACTGGGGGCGGAAGAACTGCAACTGCAAGTGGAACTTGGTTTTGCCCATCGTTCGAAGCCAACCTAAAATTATAAATTGACCTTTTTATTATTATTATTATTTTGAAGCTTATCTAAAACAATTTGCTCATGCCCTCACTATATTTTATCTCAATTTGTGTTTCGATTTTATGTCCCCCCACATATGATCAATTCACCTCACAACAGCATTTTCTGTAGCTTTAAATCGTTAAAACGACTGTATTCGCCGTCGTTTCGATACAGCAATGATAGGAGAGAAGCGGTTCAACCGTTACCGTTGGATAATCTTTACGTCGATCATAGCCCTACACGTGTCGTTTCTCCTCCGGCAAGCCCATGCGCAGCCCGTGCCGCCGTTAGCACCGGGCGCTTACGGAATGCAGACGAAGTCTGACCCGTCGAAGGCCATCGTCTTCGCCGTCCTCCTCAGTGCCTTCTTCTTGGTCGGAATGCTCTCCGTCTACCTCCGCAACTGCTCGGGGCCCGATCCCAGTTCTGGTGGCGTACACCGCCGCCGTGCCGCCGACTCGTCGAGGCGGAATGGCCTGGAAGACGCCGTCTTGGAGAGCTTCCCGGTCTTTGCTTACTCCTCCGTCAAGGACCGGAAGATCGGATCCGGCGCGCTTCAATGCGCCGTCTGTCTCAGCGAGTTCGAGGAGAAAGAGATACTCAGGCTGATCCCTAAATGCAATCACGTCTTTCACGCCGATTGCATCGACGCCTGGCTGTACTCTCACGCCAATTGCCCTGTTTGCCGAGCCAAACTCGCGCCGGAATCGGAGAAACTCGGCGATGACGAACCTCCAGTAACCGACTCGATCGCCGTCGAGTCAAACAATCCGAATAACTCGGAGGAGACCGGTAGAGTCAGAGATCACATCGCGATCGACATCGACGGCGATCGAACAGGAGATTCCGAGGCGATCGACGCCGCAATGAAACGCGAAAAGCGGCGGAGGTCGGGAATCGGCGGAAAGTTCCCCCGGTCGAACTCGACGGGTCACTCTCTAGGACAACTCAGGGAAACCACGGAGAGATATACGCTGCGGTTGCCGGAGGACGTGAGGAAGCGGATAATGGCAGCGAGTGGCCGGAGACTAAAGCGGACGAGGAGCTACGACGGATGTGCTTCGGCGGCGGAGGATGGAAGCACGAGAAGAGGTCGCCGGATCGGCGGGGAGGGGAGCGGCGGCAGAGGCATAGGTTATGGAGTCGGGTCGGGTGAAAGATATGAACGGGTCAATTGGAGGGACCGATGTGGATTGTCGGTCCCAAAGATGTGCGCCGTTAGATCACGGAACGATAACGGTGAAGTGATCGTATGGGTGCAAGCTGATGGCCCGCTAAAATGACGCCGTTAGTTGCCGAACTTAGCGTTTGTTACTGTTAGGGTTCATTGATTATCGGTTTAATTAATATAATTTTGGTTAGAAAGCCGTTGTAAATCATTTCAATTTTTCCCCCTCGTATGTGTTTGTTGATGTATCCATGTTCGTGTACTAACAACATTATAACTAAAAATAAATAAATATTCCATGTTTTCGATCAATATTCGTTTACGAAATAAGTAAATTATGGTGAAATATTTGGTGGTACCATTGGAAAAGTTATCTACCATGAAAAATTTTAATGCAAGCATTGGATCATCGAGACCCGACATACCTAATTTTCTATTATTAAGGATCCTATGATTTCTTTAATCTTATCATATATTTATTCAAATTTCATATTTTTTATATAAGTTTATAATACCCTTTAATACATGGTTCTCACTTCAGAATAAGCCTGTTTAAATCATTTTCATTTATAAAGTATTCTATTTCTTTGGCCCCTAAGAATGACACTTGACGGTTAAATCATTGTACGATGGCCCCTTGTAAAATTATAGAAATATTATATGGGTTGATTTTTTTTTACATTTCTATGAATATTTGGTATGGGGTAAAAACAATTTGGAAAGTTTTCACTAAAAAAAGAGAATGATTCTCCATATATATATATATATATATATATATATATATATATATATATATATACATGTCATGTCGGACAAAGATTGAAATAAATAACACAGGTTACCTTTCTTGACCAAAAAAATTAAAAATTGCATCAATTCCTAACACAAGGTCTGATATCTTCATCCAAACCTCCATTATCATATTTCCAATTGACGATCCACTGTACAAAATCAATAGCCCAAAAAGAAAACCCTAAACAAAAGAAAGAAACCTCCTTGACCAAAATAATATACAGAGAAAAGATTCAATCGATGGGAAAGATCGCAAGTTTCTCAGATCTTCTTGGAAGAATCAAAGACAGAGCTTCTCAGAGCAAAGCCGCCTTGGTCTCAAACCCTAAAACACTCTCTTTCCACTTACCCGTCCTCCGAGCCACCACCCACGACCCATCCACGCCGCCGCATCACAGCCACGTCGCCGCCGTACTCTCCGCAGGAAACGGGTCACGTGTCACGGCGGCCGCGGCGGTAGAGGCGGTGATGGACCGGCTCCACACCACGGGCGACGCGTCGGTGGCTCTCAAGTGCCTAATCATCGTCCACGAAGTGGCGAGGCACGGCGGATTCATTCTACAGGACCAGCTCTCGGTTTTCCCAGCGACCGGTGGCCGGAATTATCTGAAGCTTTCCGGCTTCCGGGACGAGAAGTCGCCGTTGATGTGGGAGCTCTCTTATTGGGTCCGGTGGTAAGTATAATCAACAAAAACCCACTTTTATATATCGATCATGTCGATTTACTTCTAGTGGATTCAGACATGGGTTCTGATCAAAACTTGAAATTTAAACTTCTGTCTGATTAAACGGCACAGACCCAGATTTTTTTTATTTACATTTTGTGTTTTTTTTTCCATGAATCGATGTCGTATAATCCATTTAAATAAATCCAGAAACTGATTCAATAATTGAAAAGATGATTCGAGAAAGCTGTTGCCCGATGGTTATTGACTTTGAAGAACCTGACAACTGCTGAGAACTTAACACGTGCCTCAGACATTATCATGTTTTATGAAAACGACAAATTGTTATGTCATTTAAGATACTGAATTTTAATAAAATTAGGAATATGTAAAGATCAATTTTTTTTGGTAAAATTATATTTATATTTTGTAGGTACGCTCTGTACCTGGAACAGCTCTTGTCGAGCTGCCGAATTCTGGGATTCTTCCTGTCTTCAACGTCGAGCGCTGCCCAGAGAGACGACGAAGACGAGAAACTCTCGTCTCTCTCGAACACGGACATTCTCGGAGAGATCGACGCGCTCGTTTGTCTTCTCGAAGTTGCCTGTAAAATCCCAGATCTGACCTTACCTCAGGGCAAAAACCTCGCCGAGGAAATCACCAGATTCGTCGGCGAGGACTGCATCTCGTCGATCGACAAGCTCTTCAGCAGAATCAACGAGTTCAGACAGAGATCGAGCGACATAGGCTTCGGAGACTCGGTCGAACTGGTCTGTGCTTTGAAACGGATCGAGAGTTCCAGAGAGAAGTTATCTGGGATCTGTTGCGGGAAGAGAGTTTGTGTCGATGGCTTCTTCTGGGATTTGGTGAGCGAGGTGAAGGGCATGGTTGGTGAATTCGGAATGGATTATGGGCAAAATGGTAAAATGATTGTTAATGTAGGCAAGAGAGGGTTGGCCCGCATGGGTACCCAGTCGGCCCGGTTCAGTGACCGGGTTATTCCGGGTTATGTAGATTCGGTTCGTTTTAATCACCAACATTTTTTGCTATAGTTCGGTTTGATTTTCCGGTTTTCGCTCCAATTCATAGTTTTTTTTTGTAATTAAAATAAAGAAATGAGTTACAAAGTGGAATGCGAGTTTCGGTCCATTTATTTATTTTTGTTAAAGAATATCAAACCGATTTTATTGAAAAAAAAGGTTGGTTTTTACATTAGGGGCCCAATCACAAGATATAAGTGTCATAGTAATATATGTAAAACACCAAAACGATCATCATCCGCGTTTAAAACAACATAAAAAAAAAACAAAACAAAATGTATAAATATGAAATTAACAAAAAAGAAACAGATCTCATACAAACCATGATCGAGAGCAGCCTCCATGCACGTACGGTACCATTCCAAATCTAGGCCAAAACGACGGCGTACAAGGCACCGGCAATGGCGGTGCCAACGAAGAAAGCCTTGTTAGCCCAGGCGGCCGAGGCAGGCGGCGAGGCATCTGCTGCTGGTCCCGGAGCCGGAGCGCCGGAGGGTCCTCCGGTTGGAGACTGTACCTTCGGCGGAGAAGCCACCGGAGACGACGAAGGCGGCGAGGAGGAAGGGGTATTGGTCGGAGACGGAGCGGGCTCGTTCACCGGAACAGGTGGTGTAGCCATCGGAGGAGGTGTGACCACCGTGGGAGGAGTCGCCGGCGGTGGGAGAACCACCGTAGGTGCAGGCGCCGGAGCCTGGGCGAGACATGACGTGGCCAATAGACCCATGAAGACAAGAGCTTGCAGAACTCGAGGACTCATTGTCTCTTGTCTGAAAATGGATGAAGAGCAGAAGCAGAAAACTGAGACACTCTTGTTTTGTCTTCGCAGGTGGTGTTGAAGGAGACGATGGACGACTATATATATACAAGACGGTGGGGCTAATAATAAATATTTAAATTTAATTTTTAAAATAAGATTACGGGGATTTGTTTAATATGAAAAACCATCATCATGCAAAGCACATATACATGACAACCGTCTTTGCCAATTCTTGTGGATAATTTTCCCCTTTTTCGTTCATTCGTTTTATTTATTTATTTATTTTTCTTGTCGTGTTTTGAACGATGAAGTATTCTTGAAGAATCAGCTACGAGGAGGTGTACCAAACGGAAACACATCAAGATGACACGTGTCATATTTGAACGAGATTTTACTTAACCGTCTGGTTTACCGCGTTAATAGAAACATCAGGATGACTTTTAGTAACCGGATCAAAGCGTCGTCGTTTTGAACTGTGACGTGCGATGAGGTCAATATTCCGCAAAAAAAAAATATTATAAACTCGCCGAAATATTTTATTTATGGTACGAAAAAATCCCCTAAATTTTTAAGCTTGAAAACTGCATTTTAGTATGTTGAGTTGATTTCGGTAGACGCTAGAAAAAAAAATGTTTTTCTAAAATAAAAAATATTCAATCGCACACACTCGATAAGACGATAACAATCGTAATAAATACTTTAATTTATATTATACATAAAATAATATAAAAAGATGGAGCTGGGCATAAGCTGTCAATAATAATTATAATAGAGTGAAAATCATTTTTAGGATATGTTTGCAGCCGTTATCCTAAGCTGTAAGATTTTAATAAAATCATAAATAATTATGTAGAAAATGATGTTATGGGTAATTTCTATAAATTAAATGAGAGATTAGCATCAAATGGAGAAGTTGGAGTCGTCAAGTCTTTAAGAAAACATGAATGCCTCAACGGCCAAAGACTTGGTTCCCACTAACTACTACGACCCTCTCCCTCCACCCATACGAAGCAGTCAAATAACGCGTATTACAAAAACATTTTAATTTTAATTTTAATTTAATTTATTTAATACAACATCAAAATCTAATTTTGTTCTTTTTTTTCGTCTTTACCGTACATAAATCGAATTAAAAAAAAGAGTGTTTTTTGGGAAACGCATACTAGGGGTCGGCGTTTTGAAAAACGGTTCGGGTTCGGGACGGGAAGGGATCAGTTCGGTTCTTTCAGTTTTAAAAAATAGGTACCAATCGGTTTTTATATTATATTTGGTTCGGTTCAGTTTCGGTATCGATTCGGTTCTGTTCCGGATTTTATTAAAAAAATAATAGATTTCTTTTAAAAATATTCGGTTTTTCGGGATTTTTAAAGTTCGGTTCGGTTCCGGAAAAATTCGGTTCTCTAAAAATGATACCGTTCGGGAATTAAGAACGGTTTCGAGTCCGGAAAAATACCGTTTTTTCGGTTCGGTTCGGTCCGATCCGGTTTTGGAGAACCCAACCGAAACGTCCAGTGCTAACGCATACACTATTTAAATGGGCCTTAGTAGGCCCATTAGTCTTTTTTGGGATTAGGGCTTATATTGGATTATGATTCGGGGGAAAGAGAAACGTCAACCGGTCAAAGCTGACTAAAATCTCTCCTTGGCGCTTAAAAAAGGGTAATAATTTTTCACGGCTTGTCACCGCTCTCCCCGGTAAACCCGTCCGCATTTTACATCCGCATTTTACATCCCAAAGTGTCCCAAGTGACAATTAAGAAGAACGATTAAAAAAAAAGAGAGGAGAGAAACGCGAAGGTGAGGAAACCGTACTTGCGAAATTCAAAGTCCTTGGTATAGAGCTCAGGTGAGAGAGCTGGCGATTGCCCCCACGCGCTGATAGCGTTCAGGAAGAGAAGCTTCTCGAACAATGGAGCTGTCGAAGGGAGAGATCCAAGCGAAGACGGAGGCCGAGGTGAAGGATCAGAATCCGAATCCGCCGCTGAGCGCCGATCCGAAGGCGGTGGATCAGGGACCGAAGGGCGGCGAGGATGCGAGCACCGTGATTTCCTTGTCCGAAGAATCTGGGGCTCCTGTCGGAATTGAGACACAGGGAGGTCAAACGGCGGGGCAAGCGCCGACTCGTTCGGCGTCAGGATCGAGGAAATCGGTCCACTGGAGCCCCGAGTTGGTGAGCGAGTCTCCGGCGCCGGATCATAAGGGCGTTTCGTCCTCCTCCTCCGATGGATCTAATCCGTACATCGCTCGTTCTCCGGTCGATACGTCGGCTAACTCGTTCAAAGGTAGTGTGTCAATGGCGTCTGTTTTCGGTCCGTTCATCTGAGGCGTGTATGAGCGTTGTCTCTTTGAATTGGATCAGATAGGATGGAGTCTGTGAAAGGAGTGCTGGGGAGATGGGGAAGGAGGGTGGGTGAAGCGGCGAAGAAGGCTGAGGACCTGGCCGGGAACACCTGGCAACATTGTGAGTTTCTGATGCCCTAATCTCATCTGAATCTGTTTCTTTGTACTGTTTACCAAGTTTGCAAACATTTGGTGGGTTGTTATGGAAGTAAACAAGAAGTTGGAACGAGATGTTCATCCTGAACAGATTTTCTTGCATCATGGAATTGTGAATTAACCCCTTTTGAACGAGGATAATCGTGTCTCATTGTAGATGTGATTCTATCCAAATTCGCTGGGCATTGTACTCTAGCGGTTTGTGTTTTGAGGTTTGGGTAAAGGGCAATCATGATGGTGTGCAACAATTGGCGATGCAGTCACTAGCTCCTTGGTTGCTAATTCCTCGAGATGTTTTGCATCCAAGAATTGCCAATTGAGTGGAGCAAAGCATTTCGGGTTAAATGAAAAAATTGAGATTTAGGAGAAAACAAGGGATCTGACAGATTGGGGAAATTATGCAATCTAACCAATGTTTAGTTTACCTTGTCTTTGTGTCTTCTCTTCCTCATTTTTCTACCTTAATTGAAGCTCTCTTCCCCTTCATTTAGTTAGCTATTTTATTCCTGAGAGTAGCTGCCTCTCTCACTGACTTATCTCTGTGCTGTCTCAATCAGTGAGAACTTCTCCAAGCTTTGCTGATGCTGCCATGGGAAGAATTGCACAGAGTACAAAGGTCCTGGCAGAAGGCGGCTATGAGAAGATTTTCCGACAAACCTTTGAGACAGTGCCGGAGGAGCAACTGCTAAACTCGTATGCATGTTACTTGTCAACATCTGCTGGGCCGGTCATGGGAATTCTATACATATCCACTGCCAAGCTTGCTTACTGTAGTGACAATCCTCTCTCATATAAAAGCGGTGGACAAACTGAATGGAGCTATTATAAGGTATTCTATTCATCTCGGTTCTCAGAAGTTTGTGATTGTTTAAAGACCCAAATTTACCTCTTTATCACGCTGAGATGTTATGACCCGCAACTGTGTCTCAATTTGTATGATTTGCACGATATTCTAGCTGTTCGGTTATACGCTTAGACTCGTTATGATCTACAGAGATTAACATTCTGGACTTGCTCTCATTCAATCGTCGTTCTATATTTAATCTTAAAAGCACTGGCTTTTGCTTCAGCCTTCAGTGTACATCTTTCTTGTGTTGACCCGATACTCCAAGATTTGCGCCATAAGTATAACTACTTTGCTTTCGATCAACTTGCTTCGGCCCCTATTGGTTACTAATGTCTATCTTCTTAAACAGGTTGTCATTCCTCTGCACCAGCTTAAAGCAGTTAACCCTTCAACTAGCAGAGTCAATCCCGCGGAAAAGTATGTCCAGGTAATCTCGGTTGACAACCACGAGTTCTGGTTCATGGGTTTTTTAAACTACGAAGGTGCGGCTACGTCATTGCGAGAAGCCTTGCAATCTGGTACGGTTCAATCAGTGTGAGATTCCCTATCCATTCTTGATATCACATTATTCTCTCGATTCAATCGGAGTATTCGGTTGTCACCCCTTGTTGCCAGTGTTGCAATGCCCAAAGCCACTCTGATATATACACATTTGCTATAGAAACTAGTTGAATCTTAGGGGGCAACAACACATTTTCTTCTGGTCTTAATCTATGTGGTTGTAAGAGAATATTTTGTCCCCCTAAAAAGCTATTTGTTACTCTTTATGTGACACTGCAGAATGTGATATGGCAGCATAATTTTATTTCACAAAAAAACATCAAATATATATCGTTGTTGATGGAAGAGAAGAGAGGCAGACCAATCTATCTCATTTAACATTTCCATGGAAGAGAGACATACATATATATATATATATTGTCTTTCTCATGGAGCCAGAGAAATGTGCAATTTCCCATTATATAAGGAAGATTCATTTATTTGTACCCTTTTTCTGAAGGGCAAATACAATAGGATTCAAAAGAAATAAAGATGAAATCATTAGAGAGAGAGAGAGAGAGAGAGAGAGAGAGAGAGAGAGAGAGAGAATTCAAGGGAGTGAGGGCTAAGGGAAGAAGACCTAACAAAGTTCTGAGAGAGACGCAGAGTAAAAAGTAATGGTAAGGGTCCCCCACTTCTATCCGTAAATTTCTCAACTTCCACTGTTGGACCATGCTTGTGTGCTTGTCTCCTCTCTCTCTCTCTCTCTCTCTCTCTCTCTCCCCCCCACGTTTTTAACCCTTTTTTTTCCTGTTAAATCACGTTATTGATATATTAAACTCTCTCAATACTTGTATTGCATATTGAATCACGACTTTAAAACCCGATTCTGAGGAGTATTTAATAACAGCCATAATCATAAAAAAAGAAACATGTAAATATATATTATATTTTATGTGCATGTGAGACATATATGTACCAGTTTTTTTTTACTCTTTTCTGTTTAATGTATACAATTTCTTTTACATATTTTAATTTAGGGTTTCGTTACAGTACGTATGAGTTAACAAATTCACGTCACTCCAAGCGGTGAATTAGTAATTATAAAAAATAAATAAAGTCCATATGCTTTTATATGTTGCGTGGGTCAGTCCAATCTAACATTAGTTTACTAGTTCAAAAGCCTGTTCCTCTTCCGCATGCGTGAACTCAAATGCTCTTACACTTTCAGTGTGTGTGTATATATATATATTTCTTATATAATAACATAATCCAAAAACAGTGAAATTATTAATTATTTTGTTTGTTTTTAATACATTTGAGTTTAGTTTTACTCTTGAATACTTATGAGGTTGTTTGGTTGCTTTTGTAATCTCGTTACCGAAAAGCTCTGCCATCGTGCACGTGATTGGCACGTGAGTTGGTATATTGTTGGTGGGCTCCTTTTTTTTTTCATTGTTAACGGGGTTTTAATTAAATAAAATCGGAAGGGCATTTTGGGGAATAAAATAATAATAAAGTAAGGGAACGACAACAACACAGTGGATTCCCAAGGCTTCATATGGTCAGAGATTTAGAGAGAGACGTTGACTGGTCGCACAGTCAAAACAAAAAGAAGTGGGCCCACTCCTTCCAACTTCCTTGGCCCATTATTATTTCCCTTCTCCAATCCCCAAAAAAATCTCCACTCCTCTTCCAAAAAAAAAAAAAAAAAAAGGAAATTCACAAGATTAATTCGTGATTTTTTTAAAAAATAAAACCGCAAAAACACTTCGATTCAATGTGAAAAAAAAGTGTGTTCCATTTCAAAATATATACTCCCTCCGTTTCAAAATATTTGTAGTTTTAGTTTATTTTCCATGTTTCAAAATATTTGTCATTCTACATTTCCAAGATAGTTTTTTACAATAGTTTCCAATTTTATCCCTCCCAAATTCCAATAAATTATTAGTGATAACATTATTTTTATCATTAAATAAGGTTATATGTGTCTTTTTCTCTATTTTCTTAAAAAATGTGAAAAATCCTAAAACTACAATTAATCTGAAACGGAGGAGTATTTTTATTAGTCCATTTAATGTTTTTCTTAAACTTCTGTTCGCCATTGTTCTTTTACTCTCACATTTTCCAATCATTTTTTTTTCCTGGTTGATCATGACTTTTCTTTAAAGGAAACCACAAATTTCATGACCCTCCTTTTGGATTAGAGGCTGCGAAGCAATCTCTCTCTCTCTCTCTCATTGGTTACCACTGTAATCTGTACAAGACCCAACTGTCAAATCTTCACTCCTAAAGCTGAAGCATTTTGCTTCAAGCACTCCAATGGGGCTCCTTGTCAATGGCAATGACAGCCTCTGTTCCTTTGGTAATGCATCTTCCCCTTCTGTTCTTCCTCTTCTTCTCATCATTCTTAGACACTTCACAACTCTCTCCTGTTGAGGAAAAAAAAAAAACAAATCCAATGGAAAAGACAGAACCTCTCAATCAATCAAGTTCCAGACAAGTTTCGGTTTTGTCAGCACATTGGTTGCAAATCTGAAGCTGTTTCGAAAAATGTTTTTACCTGTTTCACATGTGTTAGACTATAAATTGCATTCTCTTTGTCAGCATCTTTCATTTCTCCTGTAATTGAGACGGCCATTGCAGCTGCAGCAGCTATCTCACAAGGCCTGTAGTCTAGGAATTCAATTCCTGCATTCAATTTTTCAGCAGCAACCCATTAATCCACCAGGACCGAGCACGTTAAATCGCTACGCAGGAAAGGAAAAAAACGCGTTTTGACGAACAAAAAGGCGTACCTTTAATGGTGTTTAATATGAGTTCTGAAGATCTAGAGATTGAATTCTCGGATGGGTTATCACTGGTTTTGCTCAAGAAATAATCTATGAAGGAGAATGGAGTTAGAGCTTGCAATCTCCAATTCAATGTGTTCAGTACCAAAAGTTCCATCCTTTGTAGCGTTTTAGCCTCAAACAAATACTTGGGATCTCCTACCTGTTTAAACCCATTGGAATTCAACATTAGTTCCCTCGAAAAAAACCCGGAATCAATCCACCTTTCTTTTATGAATTTACAACCACACGAGAAAAAACCGGAATCAATCACACATTGCACCTGCAGATCAATGGATTGAGGTATGTCTGTTTCGTCCAGTTTCGCTGCCAACGATAAGCAAGACACAGCAAGCAATTGGACAGCCCAAGCATTGTCTTTCTACCAAACAGACAAAACATGATCAGCATTGTCTCGGATTTCGACCAATTCACATTAAGCTCTGTGAAGATAACATAATGGCTGAACCGCTGAACTTACTGGCAATTTATAGGAGGACGAGAACCGATCAAAGTAGTTCATGGATAGGCATATGCATCTGGGTCCAAAATGGTAATGATCACAAGCCTGCTTACAAAAATCGACAATGCTGTAAGGTAGGATGAGGAGGAAATATCAAATAAAGCAAGAATTAAAGACAAAGATCCATTTTTTCAAATTGCAATCTATCATGAAGATGGAGAACTATACATCTCATACGAAACGGATTCGACCCATTTAAGCACATCAATCAAATGCACAAATTTGAAGCATTGGATATCATTCCAATCGTTGAAAGGGAAATAGCACCAATGCTTATCATAATCATTAACACCCATTTGCCAAAACCTGAGAATTTCCGACATAAATTGTCTTTCAACTCGACAGAACAACTCAAAGAACCCCATCCTGCTCAAATGGATGGATACACTCATATATCGAAATTTGAGTTTTGAATCAATGACAGCGATGATGATATTGAGTTTGAACACCATTCTTAACGGGTGAACTTGTAATCAGAAGATCAGTAAAAAAAGAACGTAAAATCCAACCTTCCAAATCCAATCCAGAGCTTCGTTTCTAACACACAACTCGAAGTCCCCAGCACGCAATCTGTTAAGGTAATCATTTCCGGGCAGGAATTCAGTCTCTCTCTCCAACATTTCTCTGATTCTGTCTTCGCCCAGCAACGATGGAAAACCCATCAACGGAATTGATCCGGTGAAGTCGAAGCTGTCGTCTTTACTAAAGATTTCATGGCTGAACTTTACAGAAGAGTCGACATCAACGTCGTCGGCGTCGTCACTGCGACATGTCTCGCTGGTTTCTCGACAGACAAGATTCTTCGCCATGGATACTCTCTTCTCGTCTCTTACTATTGGGTCTCAGAGGTTTCTGACAATGGCGAAGTGAAAACCCAATACGCAGGAGTCACCAAGATGAGAGCTTTCAGAGGAAGAGGTTCTCTCTCGGAGATGTGTTTTACATGGCGAGCGAGAGAGAGAGAGAGAGAGGTTTATGCAGAAGAGTGTGCGTGCGTGTTTGTGTATTTTAGGGTAGAGAAGGGAGGAAGAGAGTCCAAAAGGCTGAGATACGTAGAATCTGGATTAAGGGAATTTCAAGGGGGATATTAAACAAGTGTAATTAACAATTTAATCATTCGATTAATTCGAAGAAAACTTGAAGAATTAAGAGAATGCACATATGAGTTAAAAATGTAACACCCACCTCTTTAATTTCTCATATCGTAATCTTTGATTTTTGCATTAAAATAATTATATTAATCTTTAGTTTACGATCATCTGAGCTGAGCTGGCTCCCTTCTATGGAAAGTTCGGATATGACACTGGCTTTCACAGCAATTACACTTTTACCCCTACAACCAAATGATCCGTGTTCCTTCATCACCCACCGGTCAAATCTAATTATCTAACTCATGGATCATAAAAATAAATAAATAAATAAATAAATATTTATAAAAAAAAACATGCGCTTCAAACTTTATTATGCCATGAGAGTTTTGTCTTTGTCTCCCACCCCAAGACGTCCTCTATTGCACCGAAAGCAAAACACAATTTATCCAAAGAAAGAGAGCATGCATATATAAAGGTTACGATCCATTCTCATTCTCTTTTTATAACAATTATCATAATCATCTTATTGTATTTTTACCATGTTTTTCAACGTTACCGAGACCACATTTTATTTGCATGCAAATTGTTATGTGTACTATTAATTTTGAATCTTTTGGCTTTGGATCAGTAGAGTTGATGTATATATGTGTGTGTGTATATATGACAAATACCATTATAATTACATGGGCCTTTACTCATAGAAACTTCATTAGGCCTAATCTTACAGATAATTGAAGCCCATTATATTTAATTGGGCCTTTTCTAAAGCCCAATAGGTGAAACCCTAGGCCTTCCTTTCTTATAAATGGAGTGTTTTGGCACCTCTCTCGCAGCTCAGTGTCCAGTTTGCGACCCTAGGAAAATGGAGCTTTGCACGTCTCAAGCCATCAGCCATCTTCCTCGGAGCAAAAGCCGCCGTGGGTTTATTCTCTCCGGGAATGCTGTTAATCTCCTCCGCGGCAGAGCCTCGTTTCCAATCAGGCGGAATACGGTTTCCCTTGGTTTACGATCCCGTACGAGAACTGTCTAACCTAGGTTTCATTTTTTTTGCTTTGCTTTGCAATTTTTGATTCAGTAATTGTAATTGACGAATTTGGGTCGTGTGGGTACTGGATAGTTCCCGTTGATAGGGATTAGTGTTATTGATCTGAATACTCGACGAGTTTTTTCTCAATGGTTTAACCGATAAATGTTCGTTGTTTGTTTGCTGGTATCCATGGATATGTTCTCGTCTGTTTTGACTGGTTTAATTGGATCCAATTTTATGATGTGTTTGGTTGTGGCTTCTGAGCAAGAAACCCTAACGTAGTGTTTGTTTGTTGTCCGATTGGGAAGGCATCTTGCGTTGTAAGGGCTCGTTTACCGGAGAAACAATATCCGAGGAAGCATCAACTGGAGAGAAATGTGATGGAGCAGTTGCAGTGGAAGACGTTTCACCCGTGGAGAAAAGTGTGACCAGTGAACTAGAATTGGCCGAAGATAGTTCTCAAGCGGAGTCCTCTGAGGACGAGCAGACACAGTCGATTGAGTTCTTGGACAAGGTAAAGGTATTTCATGACATGTTTAGATTTTGTATGTTGTAGTTTTGGGAAACACTGGACTGAGTATATAATCTTGCATCAATGTCTTGTCTGCTTTGTCGGTGATTATGTTAGGTAGTGAAAAGATATCATTGTTTTGAAGGTTTCTGGTTTTCAAAGGGGTGAAAAGCTTGAGACTTTAAGCGGTGTAGTATTTCTAATGGTAGAAACTTAAATTCTTTGATTCATATGTGTATGCACAAGTTCGGATATAATGTATTGGTTGCTATGATGATTCCTTTATCAGGTTGAAAGTGTTCTTAGAATGCTTAATGAACGCTCGACCTTTGTGTCGAACCTGAGCGGTTACCTGAGCAACCTTGTGGTGATATGCTTGTGTCAACAGCTGCTATTCATATCAGTCTCTATTTGGCATTTCAACTTTAGCCTTTTCTTCAGCGATATTCATTTCAATCTTTTGAGGTTTCAGTTGTCGGATTTTTACTCAACCTTTCCCCTTTTGTCATCTTGCACTCTGTCCAGAAATTTGTTGCCATGATGATTATAAAGAATACCTAAAGAAAGCGCATTTGTGCTTAGTGAATCATCAACGAAATGTTGATCTGAGCGGTTACCTGAGCAACAAAATGTATTTTTCGGATTACTTCAATAGTTTGGCATGTTTTGCTTCTCTTTTAGATTCATTTCAAAGTTCCCTTTAGTTTTTTATTTGACATGCGTTTTCCATCCATCTGCTGAATCTTTTGAAACTTTGCTTTCATATATATGATTCCATTGTAAAGTTCTATTATCCCCCTCGGATCTTATCATTATCCGCTTAATACGTGTTCTACCATTTTACTATGTTATTGATGATATCCTTTCTTAATGCATCAGCTCGATTCTGAGAATACCTATCCAATACTGCTATATGGGAGTGGGGCATTGGTCGTGCTGTATTTGGCATCTGCTGTTATTGGCTCCGTGGAATCAATTCCTCTGGTGGGTTCTTCTCAAATTTTTTTTGCTTAGGATGAATTTCAGAGTAGTTGCATGTAGCTATTATCCATATTGTAAATCGCTTCCCCGTTTGATGTTTCAGTTACCAAAGCTGTTGGAGGTGGTGGGTCTTGGATACACGCTTTGGTTCACCACCCGTTACGTGTTATTCAAGGTAGGGCTAATGTTCGAATTCATCTCATATCAGAGCTTGCTATACCGGTAGCAAAAGGTTTCGCCCCTACCCTTGTTTTGACTGTTGTAACGTTAATGCAGAAAAACAGACAAGAACTCAGTGCAAAGATTGAAGAAATTAAACAGCAAGTCCTTGGATCCGACAGTGACCGATGATGGTGACTAAAGTTCTTTTGAAGGTTTTGAACTGCCTCGTTGTTTTGTTCGAGCTCTGTACAAAAATCTCTCCGACAGATTTAGATGCGATCTGTAAGAAGATAACATAGAAAAAGTCTGGAAATGCAAAAAGAAATATATATATATATATATATATATATATATACATATACGTATATATGTATGTTTGATGGGCTTGGTGATACGCAAAAGGCAGACCTGAGGAATAACCTCAACCATCCGAGGAAAAGGGCTCAACATTCGAAAAGATTTGGTCAAATTCTCCAACTTGCCAAAGAAATTCACGATGTTGTTGTCGTGTTGGATGAGGTAATGTCATGCATAATGCATGCACGTGTGGGCTTATTATTGGGATCGGCTGGTTTGGGTACGATGCTTCGTCGCAGTTATTGATGACGTTTCTCTACTCCGCTTCATTGCAATTTGGCTCATGTCATGTCATATCGAATGCAATTTGTAAACAAGAGACTAACGCAGAAGCCTTGTCCGTGTGAGACCCACATCTTTAAATGACGTTATTGGCAAATTTACCACTAAAGTTTACAACTTTCAAGGATTACGGCAGACCTTTATTCATATTGTGCCCTTTACTATTGGGATCTGCTGTTTTAGGTACGATGCTTCGTCGCAGTTATTGATGACGTTTCTCTACTCCGCTTCATTGCAATTTGGCTCATGTCATGTCATATCGAATGCAATTTGTAAACAAGAGACTAACGCAGAAGCCTTGTCCGTGTGAGACCCACATCTTTAAATGACGTTATTGGCAAATTTACCACTAAAGTTTACAACTTTCAAGGATTACGGCAGACCTTTATTCATATTGTGCCCTTTACTATAATATTTTTCAAATGTAAATATCTCCATTACATCGATTTTCCAACAATGTGATTCGAAGCATAAGTTTGTATCATGCATATTATTCCGTTGTCCGTTCGTATTTCACATAGAAATACTAAATAGCTTAATTGAAGATTAGAACCAATACCCAATACACTGAATAATTCCCTCTGGTGCAAAACAAAACAAACACTGAATCTCGCAATACGATTTTTTATTCCGTTATCGTCATCGTCTCGACCGCCTCCATAACCTCCGACATATTCAAAACTCGACGTCTTTGAGCAGCTTCCTGACCTGTTCGAGCGTCACGAACAGAACCACAGTGAACGGTCCCTGTCTCGATATTGTCGGAACAAACCCTTTGTACAGAGCCATCACTCCCTCCGCCTTCACCGTCTTCACCGCACAATCCATAGCTCCGGCGTACGGAGGCGCCACCCCCGCCTCCACCTTCATGTTCATCACCCTCGTCTTTATCACATCCACCGGATTCGACGCCACCGCCGCCACGAACCCCGCCGCGAAACTCGCCGCCACGTGGGTCCCCAGCCCGTCCCTCATCAGCCCTTTCCCGATGATCGTCTCCTTTGCCTCATCGTACGTCGCCAGCTGTGACGCCGTCACGAGCATGGCTCTGTTCACCGTCAGCGACGAGCCACGCCACAGCGCCGCCACTCCCTCGCGGCGGACCATCTGCGAGATCGCGTCGGCCACGCTCTTGTAGTTGCGGCGCTGCGACGGCGGGAGCCGCCCGTCGGCCTGCATCCGGACCATGGCGACATCTGCGGGGTTGCCGACGGCGGCGCCGATGGCTCCGGCGATGAGACCGGCGGTGAGTTTGCGGGTGAGGGGCATGGTTCGGGTCTCTGGGTCTGTCCATTTCTGCTTGAGGATGTCGTAGAGGCCCATACGGGTGGTGGAGTATAGCGTCTGCCGGAGAACAGTGGCGGAGACGCCGGAGAATAGGGCGGCGACGCCCTCCTGCTGGATTATACGAGCTCCGACGGCGATCGGTCCAACGCGCGGCGGCGGAGCGTGGACGGTGGAGGATGAGATGTTGGTCTGAAAAGCGAGAGCTGGTCGGAGATTGCCCTGAAGGGCCGCGGTCGGAGCGGATTCGCCCTGAAGCTGCATTCGGACCTTGATGAGGTCGAGCGGGTGGGTCGAACAACCCGCCACGATCGAAGCGATCCCTCCTTCGGCAAAACCCTTGAGACCCATTTGAGAAAAAGAATAAAAAACCCTTGTTTGGTTTCCGAGAAAATCGGAGAGAAAATTCGAAACGAGTGCAAGAGGAGGAGAAGAAAATTGGGAGTGGGTTAACTTCAGAGGGACCAGTTGGAAGCAGGGTTCATATCACTGGAAACAAGGAGATGAGAGTGGAGGCCGAAGGCGACGGAAGAAGAATGAGGCACAGAGAGCCTTTGAGACATATGCTGCTTAGACAGATCTCTGCTTTCGATGTCTGGTTTTCTGAGACAGAGAGAGAGAGAGAGATGGATGGGTTGAAGACGAAGATGGGAAGAGAGGGAAGGCGAGAATATATAGGGGGAGAAGACGTAAACGCGGAGGGAAGTTGCTATTTTACGCCATGGAATGGAATCAGAAACTCTGACTCGACTCGGCCGCGTTCTTTACTGGTGCCGGTACTTGCTTCTTTGTTTCCGCCTCACATGGGATGCTTCCTTTTTTTTTTTGTGGAAATAAATCTGCAAAAATATTATACTTTCTGTTCCATTTGCGAGAAATAAAGGGTACTGTTTCCATTTTCGAAATTGGACAAGTGTCCATTGTTTAAAATGGTATACATAGAATATGGGTAAAAAATATATAAAATAATAATTCAGTAAATATTCGTTAGGTTGATTTGGAATAATTACAAAAACAAATTATTATATATATGGAAATTGAGGTGCGTAGGTTCAAAGCTGCGATAGCCAACCATCCAATTTTAACCATAGAGTTTCGGTTCCGACATAAAAAAAGGTTCACGAACCTTACAGCGAATGCATATATATATATATATATATATATATAAATTTATAATTAAATGGTATGGTAATATTAAAAGGAATTTTTTATTAAAGAAAATAAAAGACAGAAAGAGGGAGCCCTAACGGTTCGGTCCAACTTCGCTACCCACATAATTTCATGGGCCTTTGACTTTTTTTCAAGTCTTTTGGACTTTTCTATGCTTTTGACTTTCTCCGATTATGTTTATCTTATGCTAATCACATAATTAAATATTTCTTCAAACTCGTAAATGGACTAACGATTGGAGTGAACTCATTGTTTTTAACAAATAATTCCAAATAAGATGGAGTAACGAAGTCAACGATGATTGCATATTCTTTACAACCCTTTCATTAACAAATTCGTTAATCCAAAAAGAAAATAATTTGTCACTAATCATATGATTAGCATATTTTCAATAGATAATTGAACAGGTCGACCCGTCTGTTCATCATAGGGCCAAGTGGTAAGAAACGGTAAGAGCTGACCTGGACCGTTCCCGCCAAATTGGGTCGTCATGTCAATGACACGTGTCGGTTTCTCCGAAGATGTCGGAGTCACCGAGAGCTGACCGAGACCAGTTCAGAAGGCCGTGTAGTTTACCAAGAAATTCAGATTGTGATCATATAATAGATATAAGCATGCATATAATATGAAAGATATATTTTTTTAGTTTCTGCAATGTAATAACATCATCTATATATATATATATAGACTTGTATGCGTAATATTCATTGAACATTTGGATTATGACATTAGAGATTTACAAGTATACAAGTCAGTGATTAGAGAAAAAGATTAAGAAGACTGATGGAACGTCGTTATCCGATTATTTTTTGATAAATCTCGATTAAGTATAGGCTTCAGTGCCTTTTTTAACCTAACCATTCCTTCATTTCCGTTCACTCCTTGAACGTACAGTGCACACTTGGTTCTTCCACCAACTGTCATTATCTCGGCCCTGACGGCTTTCCCTTTCGTCGTCGCCAACGACTCTGCGATTTCCGACATGAGCCCTTTTCTGTCGGAACAGCTGAACACGACTTTCGCCAGCCCTCTGTTGCATTGGCTCAGTTTGAGGTCGTCTTCCAGCCGTGGAGCTGCCATTTCTATGTCCTTCACCGTCTTTTTCAGCTCGTTCAGGTATCTGACCGTCTCTCCGAGGACCGAAGCCTTGTCCTGCTGTTTTCGTTTCAGAAAATCATGATCGTTAATAATTTGTATGAAGATCTATGGAAAGAAATCCAATTGAAACCACGACAAGAGCTGAATATTTTAAGGATCTTGTTTGTCGAAGCATGTTCCGGCCAACTTACTTTGGCGAGGTTTGGAAGGATGGTGCGAAGAGTTGCGAACTGGCAGTTGATACGGAGCCGTCTTCTCCTCTCGGCGTCGCTGTGTTTCTTGGCAGCGATTTCTTTGGACTCGACCTTTGATTTCTGTTTCATGGCCGAGTTTCTGAAGAACAGTTTGCTGCTGCTGGTTGCGGCGGTCGATGGAAATCCATGAAGTAAGCTTGCATGCGTGTTCGAGTACGTCATGGGATTGTAATAACGTGTGATGGGACGTATCCCTTGCTCCAACTGCTCAGAATATCAAAAGATTTACAACATGTGTAAAAAAAAATTGATGGGAAGGTGGAAATGAAAATCTATGGAGGAAGATGAACTTACATGTTGAAGTAAAACCATGGTGATATATTAGGTGTGATCTGATCGAGCTTCCAAGAGAAACCTGTTGCAACAAAGATGGAGGGGATATACATATATATATATATTTATATGTATATATGTACGGAGATAAACCTGTAATAAGGAGAGGGATAGAGAGAAGATTCAGGCAATAATATTAGGAAGATGATGCAAACAAAATTAATAAATGTACCATAAAAGAGAAGTGAATGCCCATTTATTGGATGCAGATTGAGTTGAATCAAAACCTAATAAATGAGAAAATAGGCATGAAGATATTGTAATAACTGAGAGGAGAACATGAATCATACAGTGATACATCCAAAGATTCACATATCAGAAGCAGCATTCTTTACAATCTGTAATTGTGAATGATAATGACAAAATCACTTTTCTGTCTGAAGTTTGTGTATCAATCATCAGATCAATGCCAATTTTGAACAAAAGCCCATCTTGGTCGTCCTTCAGTTCTGCTCATGTTCCTGAAGATCACTTTAAAAAAAAGAGAGAGATTTATTGGTTCTTAATTGAGTAGATTATGTGATTTTGTTCAAAATCTACTGAGAATTCACATGCAATTCTCCAATATTCTTCTAACCAATTCCCTTTTCATCATATGATAAAACCCACATTCAAAAGGAATTCTGTCACATATAAAATCTAACTAGCTTCCAAATTGGGAAGTGCCCAATTATTGTTTTTGTTATCTCTCTGTCTCTTGTTTCAAACACCCACAATAATCTTCCTTTCAGAGTACTGGAATTTTCAAGGCTTAGACAGTAAACTCACCTGCCATGTCCTCTTCAGAGAGATCAACTAGTTTTGTCTCCTAATTTTCTTGCTTTTTCGCATGGCTGCCACAGAGTATGTGTATGTTACAGTAGCGGCCACGATACAGACCCCAATGTAAGTGCAAACAGCTGTTGCACATACATAAAGGTACCTGCATTTGATTGATTCAGTCAGTGCAAATGATTTTTTTTTTGTTCAGTTCTGTTGGACATTAGAAGTGATGAGACCCGGCTAATAAGACTTACTTGGGGGAGAAAACGCTCCAAACAAATAGGTGGTTCCTCATAAGTAGCAATACGACAGTGTATGCCGTAAGCAGAAGTGAGTTTATGCAGAGTGGAACTAAGCAAGGAAAACCGAGTGTTTGTTTTAGGAGCTGTCCCAGATCTTCATTCTGGGTACCTCTTGAGTGATTTCTTCTTGCCTTTGCACCTACGTACATCACCAAGCCTAGAAGGAATAGCATCGGAGATGCATAGGTGATTATGAACATCAAAATGCCGGAAAGTACGGTAGAATGACTAGAGATTCCCTGAAAATTTAGCAGAGAAATTGGTAGTCAATATGCCAATCAATGTTCCATAAGTATGGCAGTCAATCTACAAAAATAAAAGATAAAACAGAGCAGAAGCACACATACGATAAAAGCACCAGCGACATCAATGGTTGCTAAAGTATTGCTGTTCCCAAGAGCAAAGTGGCCTGCCATTCCCAAAAAGTACAATGCAGCAACCTACAAAGGAAAAGCTGTTAGAAATGTGCATCAATTACATCAACAAGCCATCTGCATTATAAAAAACCCAAATCTTGGTTAATGCTTTGAACCCCTTGTTCTCTGCAGCACCTTAGGATATTATGAATTTTAGGTCGCAATGCCACCCCCAAAACCTATTGATTGTTAATATCCTACAGGCTCACGTATGTAGACTTTGGCACCACACGCAGGTGCCACACCTCATGAGCTTGCTTATAAGATATTCAAGTAGTAAAGCCACACAAGGGCAAGAACGAACCTCGACCCATTCCTTAACCTGCAATCCTTTCGAAAAAAGATGTGATAGTGCTAACATTTGGATGAGCAGCAAAAATATGGCTCCCGAGTTGACCGGTTGTTGAAGCAGTAGCTGTAGAAGACACCAGGACAGTATGTAAGCTGAGCCAATCACAGACAAGGAATCACCTGCTTCTACTGGCAAAAACTTGTCTTCTCTTTCAGCTGGCAATGAGTGATTGTTATAACTTCTGGACATATTAGTTGAAAGAGGCATAAACCATGGCAACACTGTGGCAGCTCCAATCACAGAGGTAGCAAGCAACAAATAGGTAACTTTTGCTGCTAAGGTGGCACCATAATTGGACACCTCCAACATGTTATCTTCATATCTTGCAGCATGTAGCAGAATTATGAACCTGCAGATTGAAAAACCAAATGCCAGCACAAGAACGCTTTTTCTCTTTAATCCTTTTTGAATTAGAGTAAAAAGCCCCCAGCCAGTGACCAAGAAGATTGAGATTAGCTGAATATATTTGACATAACCACGGTCAGCTTGCCCAAGCCACTTAGAAATATCAGGAAGGTAGGTCCAATTAACGCCTCCTTGATGCCAACCTCTCAGTAATCTGCCGCAAATAAGAAGCAAGAAGATGTCCCATATTTTACATTCTCTGAATATGTTCAGGCCCTTGGAAAATTCAAATGAATTGGCTGTCTTGTAGAACAACAGAAGATTAAACGTTGATACCAGGAAATGCCAGATATAATGCTCTTCTTCCACCATAGAACTTGATCCCATACTTATAAGAAGGATCAAAACAACAGCCAAAATGAACCCCTCTTCTAAACTCAGTCGATAACTGAAATTGGAAGGTCGATCCTTAGGCTTATGGTAAACCTCTCTGAATAAGCAAAGAATGAGACTGACACAGACGAGGCATGAAAGAAGCATGGAACCCACCCCTAGACCAAGCGCGATAACTGGTTTCTGCAATATATGAGAGCTTTGTAAGAACTAAACCATATGATATAGATTCAAAGAGAGTTGCAAAATAGCGATTATCAACCACCATCAATTTTCCAAACCAGCCCATAAAAATCTAAGAAAGAATATTAACATACTTCAGTGGTTTTGCCGGCTAACCACTCACTTGCAGTTCTCAGGAACATAGTATATGCATCTAAAGCTCCGCTGAAATCTTCCATGGTATCAGACCTATTAACATGAAAGCACTCTCTGAGGTCAGGTATTAAAGTTTAGAAGTCAGGAGCACTGTAAGGGGAATGCCATAAATTCACACACTCTGTCATTTTCTTGGACTTCCAAATGCCATGAAGAACAGCAGCATTGGTAAATAAACAACGAAGTTGCTTCTCTTTACTCCCAGAGCACTCACTAGTTGCAGCTTTGAGATCGTTACTATGGCCATTAAATAATTCGTCACCAACGCCGCCACAGGAGAAGCCTTCATGTAAAGAACCCGGTAACTGTGCTTGCATTAATCTGAGTAACTGCCAGGAGTTCAATTGCAATGCCCTTAGTTGCTCGTAATCTGAAATTATCAGCAAGTAACAGTCACATAGGATCAAACATTATGTTCGGAAATATGTGACACTGCCAGAGATCAAAGTGGTCAACCTTTTAAAGAGTCGAGAGTTTGCGGAAGAAGGATTCCGACGTTATTCTTAGGAATTGGCACACCATATAGAAGAGCTAAAGTTGCCGCCAGATCTACCTAGATCGCAAGAATTGTTTTTCAAAATCAAGGAGCCAAGCAAACTGATGGATAGATATCACCAAGAGTCATGCCATGAGAACTAGATGCGCAACTGATCATTACCTGGTTAGCTATATTTTCGGTAGCCACTGCATAATCAGAAGTGTCATCCCTCAAGCCAATAAAGAGCATTAAGGAGTCAGTTTCTTCATACGATGATCCTCCATGATTTCCATTCTCAGTCATACCATGATCACTTACCACTACCTGTCCACCAAACCCACAGCAGATATAGATCAATAACAATGAAATAAGAAAGTCAAATAGATCTTCAACCGTGACATTATAAAAAATACCCTTACTTTGCTATTCTTACTTCAACACATACCCTTCTTCAGTAGAGATTGTGACCATGTGACCAATGTGACCCAAAATATAGTGTAGTCACATGTTGATCTCATTACTTATAACATTAAATTTATGATGTTTTAATTAAATAATTAGTAAGATATGTAATGTATGAACATAATGAATTAGTAAGATCACCATAAATTTAACGTTATAATAAATAAAATCAAAATGTGACCACACTATATTTTGGGTCACATTGGTCACAACTGGAGAAGGGTATATGTTGAAGTAAGAATAGCAAAGTAAGGGTATTTTTGATATAATGCCTCTTCAACCAGGAAATATCACTCACCAAAAGAGTCCTCCCTTGATCATGCCCATTATCTAGAATGGCTCTCAAATGCATTGTTTTCACTATACCATCCATTTCCATGAGTTTTGAGGCCATTAGGGGACTAGAATAAAATAACAAATAATAAGATGAATAAGCTATACAACTCGTAACCTTGCATTAGGAAATGGTGCGAGACAAGACCTGTTACGGCCACCAATATGTCCAACATGATCCAAGCCCAAGTAATGAAGGATCTGATAAAGGGTAGCTCAAGTAAGAATGACACGGTGATACAGAAATGCAGTGAACTGCTTCTCCAAGAGAATGAATTATGCAGCACAACAAAGTGCAACTTTAGATATAAGTTAGCAGCCAAGTCTTTGAAATTTATGTTAGAGATAGGTGTTTCAACATTATTATTCCTCCAAATAAATTGAGGTGAACAATTAATAGAGATATCAAAGGAAAAATAGTCCCATGTTCGGTCAGAAAAATGATCAGAAAACTAACCAAAAGATTCCAATCATCACTTTTAAGCTCATCTGGCAAATGTCGAGAAACATTTTTGTCCACCTGTACTGTATCTTTAACCTGTGGCAAGAATAAGGTCCTGATTCATCATTTCTTCTTCACATGACAATAACATAGAGAAAAATCTAGCAAATAATCACCCAAAAAAATTGATCATAATATCATATACAGATTATATGACAGAAGCCTTGGCTTAGGAAGAACATAGGTTAACGAACTACATTCTCAAACAGCTGGTAAAGAAAATAGGTGTAAAAGAATGGTTCGTATAACAGTACTGGCAACAACAACAACAATAACAAGACTGGATATCAATAAATTCTACTGGCAGTTGTACAATTTGAACATAAAAGTTCAACGCATTAAGAAACAATCTGAGGACTTGTATGGAGCTGCTAAAGGTAGGCAAGAATGGAAAAAAGGCAACTCACAAAGAAACTGCTAACACCATCATGTCTCATAAATAAACCCGGGAACAACTTGAGCCATGTATCATCGCCAAGCATCACCATTTTCCAACCAATCATAAAAAACTGACCTGCAAAACAAGAAACACTGTTATACAGCAGCTTCGTCTATCTTAGGAAACATACTTCAGATACTGAAATTCAATAGCTAACCGAGAAGGTTGTCATCTAAGAGGGCCTGTGTGTTAAAATTGAAAGCCACATCCAAGAATCCACCAATTGCCCCAGAAACCATAGCCTGAAACAAGACACTTAACTTAGCGAGCCAAACCCATCTTCAAAAAAAACCATCTGCTTAACATCCACGCAAAAAAAAAACGATCAATCAAGAATGCAGACCTTCAATCTAGGCATGGTGACAGTAGGAGGGGCTGCCTTAGAATGGTACCCAACTGCCCTTCCACGATCCAACAGTGACTGAACGTAAGGCATTGAATCCTTCCACACCTTCCTCGGAGGCTGACCACTCTTCCCCAGCACAAATTCCGCAGGGAGGCCATCAATGACCTAAACTGGCATTGTATGAAACTCGTAAACATTCAAAAACGTGATCGGTAGATAATCTCGAGCAATACACAAGTAACAAGGCCTACCATCAAAATTAGTCGATCAAATGCGGGAGAGATGCCAGACAGTTCCTACAATACAAATTCTCGCAACTTTTAAACTCCGAAAATCACTCAAGGTCCATAAATACTGAACGCGGCACGAACACGCGCAGATATATGCACATTCAAACCTGGTAGAGCAATCTCAGCTTCTCAGGATGTAGCTCCGAATCGCTCCAGTTCTTAGCAGAATCGCAGAACGGAGCATAATAACTCTCCGGACCACTTCCATTCACGAAAAAACGAGAACAATCCTCACATCATTAGATTCTTCGGGATTATATTTTCAGAGAAGTAATAAGATTTTCCCAGAAACCAAACAGGAAACCGAATAGTACCTGACGCCGGAGAGAGTCGGCTTGACGGGGAAGAACCCGAAGACAAAAAACGCGAGACCCAGAATCTGAACAAAGATCCCAGCGAAGGTGAACACCGTCAGTCTCGTACAGGTCACCGCCGGAGCCATTTTCAGATCTTCGAAGGTTTCAAAGATTCACGAAAGCTTCGAAATCAAAATCAGCACAGCTCCAAATCTGCCCGTTGCATCGCACATAATGGGTCTTTAGAAGCCCAAATGATAGGCCCAATAACGCTATTGGGCCCAATAATTTTCAGGATTGGATCTTGCTTTTTAAACATGCCTAGCCATTGTTGGACCCAAAAATGGTTTAAAAAAAAGCCTGAAATCGTTGGAACATGATTCAAATTTATTTTATTTTTCGGATTAAAGAATAATTCTTGTTATGATTAAAAAAAGTTATATTATTATGAGTAAAAAAAAATAGAGATCATATTCCGTAATATGAAGTTAACACCAAATTTTTGTTGGATTAAAGAATAATTCTTGTTGGATTTCAGGAGAAGCATCTCTCTCTCCCATCCCTTAAAGATCCACCACACACTCGCTCACAGAAACCAATGGAGAGATATTAAAAAAAAATGTAGAATCTTGCCAATAATATCTCATCTTCCACCACGCCAATCGAAACTCTTTCGTGTTCCCTTCCTCTTGACCTTTGGTGCAAAAAAAAAAAAATATTCCTTTTCGGGATTTTTATCGTTTATTTTTCTCTAATTCTAAATGGGTGATTTTTTTTTTGGTGTTGCTTTGATGTGTACTTCACTGTCTAGATCTGATTAGGGTTTTGCTGTATTCAATTCAGCACATTCTGCTTCCAAATTTAGCAACAAAAAAATCTACATTTTACTTTCCATTTCCGTTGTCTTGTCATTCACTCACACACCTTTAATCTCGCTTTTCAGCAAAAATTCCCCACCAGTTCTTCCATTTGCCTTCTGGGTTCTCCCTCTTCTTCTTCTTCTTCTTCTTCTTCTTCTTCTTCCTCTTCTTCCCTCGCTGATCTCTCACCGTTTGTTCTTAAACTCGACCGATTCTTGCTTATTAAGTCTGGTCAGCGTATGCAAAGCACGGAGACTTTCGTCAACTGGGTCGAGTTTTCTAGTGTTTGAGAGAGAGAGAGAGTGATGTCGAGAGAGAAGATTCAGATAAAGAAGATAGACAACGCGACGGCGAGGCAAGTGACGTTCTCGAAGCGAAGGAGAGGTCTTTTCAAGAAGGCCGAGGAACTCTCCGTCCTCTGCGACGCCGACGTCGCTCTCATCATCTTCTCCTCCACCAGCAAGCTCTTCGAGTACTCTAGCTCCAGGTTCCTCTCTCTCTCTCTCTGTATATGTATATGTATATACGTTGTCTGTATGTAAATCTTAAGTTCTTTAAAGTGATTGTGTATATATGACTCAGAAAAACGAGAAATCTTTTTGTAGGATTTACCAGAAACGTATATTGGCCTTGCTTAATTATGGTTATAAATTTAGAAATATACATAAGCATTTTGCATATATAGGCAACTAATATGTTCTGCAGAATATTAGAGATTAATTATCCAGATTCCAAACTATATCAAGTTAAAGATCAAGAAGTCATTAGTTCCATGAATATTTCGATAGAATTAATAAGGGTCTCATAGATACATACATACATATATATATATATATAGCATTGTTTAATCTCTCTTTTCCTTATGTTTGACAAATATATATATGTGTGTGTGTGTGTGTGTGGATATGCATGCATATAAATTATGTGAATACTGAATATTGGGATTTGGAATAAGAAGAAGGGATAAATGTAATATGGTTGGGGATTTTGGTAGGGTTGTTGGGCAAAGTCAATAAATTTGGATAATAATGTTGATGTGGGGGGAAATCTAGTTATATATATGGCTTATCATATCCCCATATATAGATACGATTTTTGGATTTTCGACCCACTACTTTGTCGGCACGTAACTCTTTACTCGGTCGGTCCATGCCTCTGCATATATACATATACATATATATATATATATGCAGACGATTATGTTGTCATTTCAGAAATTTCGTTTGGTTAACTTATAGTGTTCTTTTGTCATATAAATTTTTATGAACTGTTGTCGTGGATGTAGTAGAAAATAATCACAATGTAAACGCCAATGAGTTCATAAAGATCGTACTACACGAATGTTGCAAGAAATAAACTTTACATAAAAATATTATGTATGATATCTTGTACGGAAAAATTGACTGCGTTATGGATATGATGAGGAAACAAATATCCCATTTAAGTCACTTTAAATAAGCACTTATGGTTATGAATATATATATATCTACGCACACATAACAGTCTGGCAACATGCATGGAAAGTCAAATTAACAGTATGATGCTGTGATCGTCCTAATGGCAAGAGATCAATTTCATTTCGTGGACCGTCGGAACAAGAATTACAAAAAAAAAAAGGATGTTTTTGCGTGATGAAGCATGAAGAAGATGATAGAGAGGCATAGCTCGCAGTCTAAGAACTCGGAGAAGCTCAATCGGCCGTCTCTTGAGTTACAGGTAATGTTCCTTTCATGAATTTGTTTTGTCCCCAAAGAATTAAAGAAATGATATATTTTATGATTCTTTGGATCTAAAACTCGGATATCATATATATATATATATAGCTGGTAGATGACAGTGAACACTCCAGGCTGAGCAAAGAACTCGTGGAGAAGAGCCACCGATTAAGGTACATTAATTGATACCTCTAATATAGTTCATTTGTGGGTTATACGTATAAGATAATTTCAGGTTTTCAGGGATTTGTTTTTATAAAAACCCAAACGATAAACTGGATCTGGCTTTATATAATATTCACACAAAACAATCAATAAAACATAGATTAGAAAATCATACCTGGATCCATGAATTACAGCGGAATAACTTTAAAAACAAAAAGTCTTCTAGGGTTTTCTCTCCTTTCTCCCGTACTATAAGTTTTTCTTGATGGATATAAATAATGAATTATAATGTTCCTTTTATAGGGTGCGGAAATCCTGGTTGTATTAGGTTAAGGAGAGAGGGGACTTCCAATAATACCCCTGGGTCTTAATTCTTTAATGAGTTCTTATCCATCAAAGAACCAGATTAACATTAAAACCCGAAAGCCCGAATTACATGGGCCACATAATAATTTATTTCTTACATTCTCTCACTTGGCCCATGTGATGAATTGATGATCTAATAAACTTTAAGCGCGCAACTTTACATTAGATTCATCTATATACGTGAGTTATACGTGTATATATATATATATTATATATATTGCTAATATGGTATTCTATAGGCAAATGAGAGGGGATGAACTTCAAGGGCTGGACATGGAAGAACTGCAGCAACTGGAGAAGGCACTTGAAGCCGGGTTGAACCGCGTGATCGAGAAGAAGGTTCTGAAGTGAAAATGAAAATATACATCTCCTGAGTCCTGACTAATATATATATATATATATATCTAAAGAAAATCTCAATTTTTAATAATCATTATTATAAACTGTTTCCTGTTTCAGAGCGAGAAGATTATGAACGAGATCAACGACCTTCAAAGAAAGGTGTATATATATATCTATCTATACATATATATATATATATATATATATATATAATTGTGACGAAACCCGGTTTATGAAATTTCTATTATTTGGTCCAGGGAATACAACTGATGGAACAGAACAAGCGGCTGAGGCAGCAAGTATTGTCTTGAAAATTCTTCCCAACTTATGATATGAAATTGTGAAACAACTCTGTATTTTGATTGGACCGTTCCGTTACGATGCATGCATATAAAAATTTGCAGGGAGTGCAGCTAATGGACGAGAACGAACGACTTGGTCAACGGGTGCGTATATATACGCGTATATATATATAATATAATTATCGTAACGATCGATCCATTTAGTGTATTTAAGTTTTCTGGATAATTCTTCATCGATCGTTTAATGGCGTAGATATCTAATGGGTATGAGAGATATGGCGATGCTGAATCGGAAAACGCCGTGGAGGAAGGAGGGAATTCATCGGAATCCGTAACCAACGCCGGAAATTCCACCGGAGCTCCGGTGGACTGCGAAAGCTCCGATACTTCCCTCAAGCTCGGGTGATGTTGCCTCTTTCGTCCTCGCAATCTTTACTCTTTCCTTTTATCAGAAAGTTCCAAAGATTTATGGTTCTGGTCGTTTCTTGTTTGTTGGAATTTCAGGTTACCATATGGTGGTTAAGACATGAAATTACAAAGACAGCGGTGGGAAGAGAGATGAGAGTGTAAATCCAACTTTGTAATAACAATGGCGAAAATATGAAACGTGTAGATTGTGGTCTGTGTTTCGTTTGTATACATGTAAAAAACCTCTCTTTCACTTAGAGGGTATTACGGTGTGTGTGCATTCCTTGACGCTCATTTTTATCTTTTTTTTTTAGTTGGCCAAATTAGCAATTAATAATTGTATTAATTAATTAATGATAAAACCAAACGGTATAAATAGGGGAAGTCAGGCGTGTTCAAGCATCGGATTGAAATGGAGGAAGACGAGAAGGTGAAGAGCGACGCCAGCAAGCGAGCCTTCCCCGTCTCGTCGTCTTGATCTCGATTACACTCTCTGGCTCTATTTCTGGTTCGAATTCCTTCTTCTCTTTCTGTAATTTTGTTCGATTTGGATTTGCGATTGTGATACGATTTCGTCGTTTCAAGCTCTTGAATTCGATCGGGAACAGAGCTCATCGTGGTTTTTATATGCTTGCTTTGTCTGGGTTCTGAGAAAATCGTATGTCCTGAAGTTTCTCGAATCTTGTAGATCAAGAAAATTCAAATGTTACTTGCAATTTCGATCTGAAAATTTAAATCTGGAAACTGGACTTGCGTCATTTTTACTCACTGAATACAAATTCGGCGTTTGAATTGAACAGCTAAAGCGTATTGACGTCAAGGAAATCCCAATGGCCTTTGAAATTCCCATAGATTTTTGCTCTGGTTTAGGGGATGATGCTGATCCTTTTATTCCTCTTTTTTTTTTTGGATTTGATTATAGCGAATGTTTCCTTACTTGTATCCAGAAGCTAAGGGAATACTGCAGGCCTTAAAGGAGAGTGGTATTGATCTGGTCATAGCTTCTCGGTCTCCAACTTCTCACATTGCACGAAAATTCCTCGAGAAATTGGGCGTTCGATCCATGTTTGTAGCCGAGGTGAGAGTCATCGTTACGCAACAGCTCGATGAAATGTAAACTATGTTCAAAATATATCATAGATTTTCATGAGAAAGGACTAGAAAGTTCAGATATTTTGTTCCATTAGTATGGTAAATCCGTTAAGCTTAAGTTGCCATTCATCCATTCCTGCAATATATATCCGTTTACAGGTATCTCGAATGGGCGTGACGAGTGTTTTAGTCGGTAACGGGATAACTCTCGGGGAAATGAGACAGGGGCTCTTACTCTTAGGATATGCCGGAAGATCATCTTCATCCGCCCGCAGAAACTTGGACTGAAGGTATACTCATCACTGTGTATTCGTATAGCAATACTCCATAACCAACAAAAAAAAAAATGCCTTTGGACGACATTCGTGTGCATTATCACACTTATAATAATCATTTATCGTAACTATGATGATTTAACCATCTTTTTAATGATTTGCGCATTGAGTATGTGTATCTTATACATGAGTTACGGTTTTTACTGAACCATGACATTTTTTGTGTCACTGAATGATAATTTAATTGGGCATTAATGTGTTTACCAATTGTAAAAATATTATTTTCACTTGTTTGCCTTAACATATTAAATGTCATTACTTTTATCTTTAGCCTAATCTACCAAGTCATATTATTAAGAATAAAGTCTCAGACCAAAAGATTTATCCTCTGTAATAAAATAAATATTATACACACACACGTATACATGACTTAACCGTAGATTCTAAATTTCCAAGTTATTAAAGGCTCTGCAAGTTGCCAATGTGCTACAATCGCTTTAATTTTCTTCACAAGCAAAAAAAAAATTGAACTTCATCCATTTGCATGAGCATGTAAATATTAATATATTATATCCATAAAAAAAAGGTGGAAAGCAAAAGTCAATACTAACGGCACCGCACGATTTTTTGTATATTAGGTAAAAAAAAAACCAATTTAATGCTTTGCCAAAATATTTTTTTAAAAAAAATCTCATTTTTTTTTATTCTGTGTTGTTCAAGGTAAGAATATTTCATATAATTTCCATTCTATTAAAAAATTCTAATATAAAACATATTCTAAAATTCGGAATAAAACTGTATGTATATATAGTTGTATTGTATAATGCAATTCTACATAATCAGATAGCGTCTATATCCAATTTATGGAGAATGCAAATCGTTTTGTGTGTATGCTTATAAGTTTCGCGGTCTTAATTATTTAATTTCTAGTTTATTCGGAAAATATGATTTGCTTTTGTTCTCCAAAGACCAAACCTTATCGAATGCCCAATGCGCGAATAGAACGGATGCCACAAACTCTTCCACCGTGGGGCATATTATCTATGGGCCTATTATTTTTTGCATTTTATTAAAAAAAAAATCATTACAATATATCAATATATATATATATATATATATATATATATATAATTTATTGATTAAAGTTTCAAAGGTGCAAGTGCAGTGACTTCCGTTTTTGGACAACATATATCGTATGAGAGTGAAAGAGATGGATCAACAAGACATAACACAACAACTTGTTGGTGAAGAAAAAACGATATGTTCACGTTCTATTAATTGCAATAAATATTGATGGACGACAAAAAAAACACAATTATTTAACCAACAGATTTTATCAAACTAATATTTAAATCAGGTGTTAGTCCAATGTAAATACAAATGCCCTTTTTTTAAGCGTAGCCTATAAACCCGACTTTCATTTTAATTATTTAATTAAGGTGAAGTGACATATATTAAGAAATATATAATGCGGAGAAATTGATCTTAATCAATAGATTCCCCGGCGATTATGTCAATTATCCTGTTTAAATTTTTTAATTATAATACTAAGTCAAATCGATGTGATATTCCTTCATAAATTAATTACGAAGACGACAACCAAATCAATACATGGTTAAATCAAACGACCCCACATCATATACCCCGCAAAATAGTTATACCGAATTTAATAAAATCATTTAAAATTTTTAAACAAGAAAAATGTTGCATTTTTCGTATTATGGAATTGTAACATCATAGGCAATTTAAATGAGGAATCGGTGGTGTAGACGACACGTGTCGGAAACTTGAGCCGCACACACACGCAAATGATTGGGATTGATATCCCACGTCATCAACTTTGTACGGTCCAAGAGCCACTTGTCCACGAATCAACGGTAGAAAGGAGATTTAACTAATAATTTTATCTCTTTACAAAAAAAATCTATAATCCTTTTTAATCGCAATTTAATGATTGCATGATCACCGTACGATCAAAACGAATGGACGATTCTGGCCGTTGGATCACTTGAACGACAAAAACTCGGAGAAGCCGAGTTATAAGAGTAGCTGCAGAAGACGACGAGCTCCGATGATGAGCAGAGAGAGGCGATGGAGGGGAACGATGGATAATTTGGGATTCTGGGTTTTTTTATTAGATTCAATTTGATTCTATCTCTCTCAAGTAATTCACCGTTTGTGGTTTTCGATCTCGAATATCGGTTGATTTGACCGTGGAATCTCGCTGAAAATTCTAGGGTTCTTATTCTTTATCCATTTTTTGGTTGAACTCTCCCTGTTTCGACGGCATTCAATGGACCATTCGGCCGCGTGAGCTGGGGTTTTCGCGTCTGTTCCCAATTTCCCTCCCTATTTCCGAAGACTAGGAGCGATTTCGTGGGAATTTTGCAGTTTCTTTGGGAAATCAAGCGAGAGATATTTTTCTCATGGTCATGCTCAATTGAGTTGCTCTTTACAAGTTCATTGCTTTATCCTTCATCCGATGCCCGGCATATGATCTTTCGAAGTAAAAGTGAAATCTTTTTGCTCGCTTGTGATTTTGGATTTTGTTTGGTTACCTTCGAGTGTTCTTGGCGAATTTGAACTTCACTTCGTAATTCTCTGACGACTGTTTCCGTCCATTCGTTTCTTCTGTTCATTGATTAGTTTGAATTCTTGAGGTCGATTTTCAATAAAAAGGAGTCGTTCTCTTGCATGACTGCACCTGGGTTTCCTCTGGAGAACGAGATTAACGGTGGATATTCGTGAATCTGGGTTGGAATCCGCGTCATCCGATCTGATAATTGGCCAAATTAATTGGTTCCTATATCGGGCAGCATCTGTTTCCTCAAATTATCTTCCTTTATTCCAAATTTGGCCGATTCCTGGCCTGCGTATTTCTCTGTTCATTTCTGGGTATGAAGGGAGTGTCAGTACCAACCCCAAGCTGGCGTTGGTGGGTATTAAGTGGTCGGAAAGAGAGAAAACCAATCTCAAATGCCACTGATGCTCTTAAGTTCCCGACAAAGACATCTTCATCCAGAGGAAAGGTTGAAAGACGCTGGATTGGGAGAGATGAGACGAGAAATGGACTTGAACATGAGATGGTGTCGCTGTCCGATGGTGGAGTCTGTTCGTCTGGCTCGGAAGGTGATGGACCTGAGTGGTCCGTTGGGTGGACCGAGCCTCATGGGCCAGATTTCGAGAGCAACGGTGAAGGAGACAGTGGATTTCTGGTGCTGGTTCCTTGTTACAGAGCTGTAGTGGAAGGTTCTGGCAACCATCAGCTCCTGAATGCCGTCAAGAATCTTCCCAATGGAATCTCTCCCGGTAAGATAATCTCTTCGCCCGCTTCCTTGGCACCTTTCTGCTCTTGAAGTTGGAATTTTGCTATATGATCGAGGTTTAGGGTCATGCTTGTTTAGGTACTGAATGTTGTTACTGCAGTGTATTATTGTTGCAGAGTGTGAATGCTTTGGTTTTTAGAAGCTTGTCTCAAAGCTCAAGCCAACTTTGCTGATATTCAGAATAGTATAGGTTTAGTCGTTTATGGACAGATTGATGATTGAACTCCTCAGCTGATAATGAAACTGTAATGTCAAATGCTGCATTTTGATCAACTGGGTTCTCTTCTGTGACGCCGAAAATGGAACTGCCGATCTTGTTCATGGATGATCTGTAAATAAATCTCCATAGCATGTCGGTGAATATGGTCAAGCATCTTCAAAACAGAGCGTATGCAGAACATGTTCTTGTGGCTTGCTTGCATTTGATGATTTCTGACATTATATGCTTTTCTGAACCCTAATCTCATTTCTTGTTAAAATGTGCAGATGGAAAGAACTACATGGAGCAGTGGCTTTCCACTCTTCAGAACCTTTGACACTGTTGGCCATGGCGCTTGCTTTTGTAAGATTAAAAAAGAAAACATTGTTTGGTTTACTAGTAGTAGCACTAATAGTTACCAGTCATCTATAGTTATGATTTGGGAGCAACATTTTGTGAGATTGATCCAAAAAACCAAAAAAAAAAAAAAAAGCAAAAGGGGAAAAGAGGACTTGGGTTCATAAGAGATGGTGATTTGGTCTGGTGCTGTGATTATGAGCGTCTTGTATATACATCTCTCGTCTTGTACATAATTGTCTCCTTTGTTAACTACCACTGATCTCTATACATATATATAATATGTATATGTGTGTGTGTATAGGAATATTGCTGCTGCTGTACCTGTGTTAATGAGGCTCTTGTATGAATATTTGATTCATTGTAATAAACAAGTATCCGGTTTCTGTGAATGGCTTTGTTGACTTGTGTTTCCTCTTGAGGAAGCCGACAGATGTATGTATATGTATGTTATGTATGTATGTATGTATGGAACGTGGATTATTACTATTGGGTTTAGGGTATTCAAGCAAGCCCAATAAGAACATATTATTGGCCCAACCCCCAATCCTTTGCGTGTTTTTTTTACTCAAGAAATGTTTTAGATTTTCCTTCATTCACGAAATCTAATAAGAGACGACGTGTACCATGAAAAGCAACAATTTATTAGATTCATGATCTACATAATCTTGCAATTAATTCATTACAAATTTACAATATAAAACTTTGTAAAAAAGAATTTTAAGTTTACACCTGTCAGCCAACTAAGCACGCCTTGTCTCCTTTAATAATAATAATAATAATAATAATAATAATAATATTTTAGTTTTAAAAAGTTTTCGTCACGATCAAAGTTTTGGGACCCATTAAGCGTTTTCCTCCGACTTCATCATCCTTATCACAAATCTTTAGGCCCAATCTACATTTAACTTATATATAAAAAAAAACTCCTCTTTTCCATTATTTCTAAATCAAATTTCATTCGATTTTGTATAAATAACAAGAAATATCGCTCTCTAGATGATTTTATAGTGAACATGTGAAACAACGAATTTATTGACAAAATTTTTAATATCTCAAATGTGTCAATATTTTGCGAATAAAACAAATCCAAATGTTAAAATTTATGCATGTAAACCGAATTAAACTATTCCCTTCATACAGTGATTATATCATATCATTAAATGAAAATCGGTCTTTAGATAATTGTAGCTTATCATTAAGTAGCAAATGATGAAGACTTGTTCTTAAAGCAAGAAGATTTATCTTTTCCCCCTCCGATGGACAGAAACATCATTTCTTTTTCAAGATCCTTTTTTGTTGCTACGCCATAGTATATGCAACACTACGTGTATATATATATATTATATACGTGCTCGTATGCGGGAGGGATAGATTGGTCATTTGAGTTGGGGTGGAGACAAACTGCTGATTGCAACGTGAGTGAGAAAGGGAGGTGTAACGTTAAGTTTTTATCAGGAAAAGGAACAGAGCGAGAAAACAGAGGAAAAGACTGAGAAAGATGGAAGCTTGAGGTTTAATGCTTCAGCTCACTTGCTGCCATTCACACCATTTCTCCAGCTGCTTGTCTCTTTAAGACATTAATCGTAGTAGGGTTTTTCTCATCTGTTTCATTTGAATTAGTAGCTTTTGACTGTTGGCGACAATGGAAGCCGGGTCGGGTTCGGATCCGTCGGCCAATCCGGGGAAGAAGAGGGAAAAGGGAAGCGGTAATGGCGAGAGAAAGTTCGGTTCTTTCTTGCAGAGGGTGGATCCCTTTTTCCCGAGAAGAGATTTGAACCCGAGAGACCTGAGATCTTGGGCCAAAAAAACCGGTTTCGTCTCCGATCACTCAGGCGAAACCAGCGCGAGTACTCGCGCCAAGTACGACGGCGGCACGGAGTTCGAGTTGCAGAGGGGTCAAGACCGAAGAGGTGCCGGGTCGTCCCCGAAAATCGAGATCGACCCGATTCTCGGCCGAGCAAGACAACATAGAGGATCCGACATCGAACAGGAAGCTGGGTCTGTATCCGGGTCAAGAGTCGAAGCCAATGCTAGAACTGGGAAGAATGAGAACGAAGGGAGAAGTTGGGCAAGGGACGAACCTGTTCCCTTACTGCCTAAAGAGGAAGAAAGGAGGGTGAACGGGAATGCGGACGGAAACACAGGCGCCGCGCCGCCGGAGACGGTGGCGGCGGAGCAGAAGGGCGGAGATGGCAGGAAAACTGAGAGGGATTTGGAAAACGGGATTTATTACCCAGGTGGTGGGGAAGCTGTTGATGGAGAGTGGCCTAGACCAATTGTAATGAAGTATGGTCTCAGGGATAATCCGGGTTTCGGTTAGTTCATTTTGGCTCCTTATTCACTTACTATTCCGAACTGGAAGTGTCAATTACAGTTCAAATAGATTTAGTTTCAGTTTCTGGTGGAGTTCAAGTAGATTTAGTCACAGTTTCTGGTGGAATTTTATCTGGTTCTTGGTTGAATTTTACTGCATTGGATTGATAGTCACATTCTTGAAACACTCATGCTTTAGCGTTGTTATTCGTTTAACTAATGTAGAAGCAAGCAACTAGAGCTGTAAGTGTATAACTTTCCTAATAATTAGAAGTTTAATCACTCGTTTTAGCCTTGTGACATTGAAGATTCTTTGTTCCTTCCGATGGGTCTGATGCATATCTTTGAAATGCAGTTCCACTTATGTATTACGGCCTGCAACACTATCTGTCGCTTGCTGGATCGCTCTTGTTCATTCCTTTGGTCATCGTGCCAGCCATGGGCGGCTCAGACGTAAGCATCTCTTCTTTTCGGCTATCGGGTCCAGTAAGAAAAGAAAAGTTCTTGACAGGTAATATTTTTTCGTTTTGGATTATGATGATAGAAAGATACTGCCGCAGTGATTTCAACGATGCTCCTACTTACTGGAGTCACGACTTTACTTCACTCCTACTTTGGTACCCGGCTTCCTCTGGTTCAAGGAAGTTCATTCGTTTACTTGGCCCCGGCTTTGGTTATCATCAATTCTGAAGAGTACAGGAACCTCACCGAACATGTAAGTTCATCAAATCACAAAAACATTAAAGCTCGTCTCCTGAACGGTTGTTTAACTTCATTTAAAAAGAAGGAATATTCTTGTCTTTTGTTGAAATTCACTGAGGGAAATGTATGATACTATATTCTCATCTTTTCTCATGCCACGAGCAGCAAAAATATCTACTTTTGATGGTCATCTCTCATTCGATCGCTCCTGAAAAGTAGAATGCATGTTTGATTCCATTGCAGAAATTCCGGCACATAATGAGAGAACTGCAAGGGGCTATAATCGTCGGTTCATTATTCCAGAGCTTACTAGGGTTAAGTGGTTTAATGTCCCTCCTCCTCAGGTAATTCAAGAATCCGAGGGTTACATTTTCTTGATTTGCAGAACTGAACATATGTGTGTCTGACACCTGATTATATTTTCGATGTAATATCCGTTTCTTGTTCTCTGTTGCCAGATTGATTAATCCAGTAGTAGTTGCGCCGACTGTAGCTGCAGTAGGATTAGCATTTTTCAGCTTCGGTTTTCCCCAGGCGGGCACTTGTGTCGAAATCAGCATCCCCTTGATATTTTTGGTTCTTATCTTCACACTGGTAAGCAATTAATTGCCTTAGGAGGTTCAACTAAGTGGCAGAAAAAAAAGCATTTGCTAACAATCAGCTATCGTTTTCAATCTATATTCCTATTTTCATTTGATGAAATCTAACTTTTTTTTTGTGTCGTCTTCTGATATTGCAGTATCTTCGTGGAATCTCACTCTTTGGTCATCGTATATTCCGGATTTATGCGGTATTTCATGCCATTATTTGTGAATGAAGCCTGATATATCAACTTCTTAATTCGAGATTTTCTACTTTGTGGCGTCTTGGAACAATATATAGGAGCCTATATAATATCGAGTATGCTTTTTGCAATCTTGCAGGTCCCGTTGAGTGCATTGATCGTATGGACATATGCCTTCTTTCTGACAGTTGGTGGGGCATACAATTACAGAGGTTGCAGTGCCGAGATTCCAAGTTCTAACATATTGATCGATGAGTGTAGGAAACATGCATACACTATGCAGCATTGCAGAACCGATGTTTCGAATGCATGGGTAAACTCTTATTGGGTCAGGATCCCGTATCCTTTTCAGTGGGGATTCCCGATCTTTCACATGAGGACGTCAATCATCATGATCTTCGTGTCACTCATTGCATCAGTGGATTCGGTATGTGTTTTTTCCGTTGCTGATACAAACTGTTTATTGAGTGCAATGGAAAGAAAGAATTTGTTTACAGTGTTCTAAACATTAGAATCTATAATTTCAGGTCGGGACTTATCACTCTACGTCTAAGCTAGTCAACGTAAAACCCCCAACACGGGAAATTGTCAGCAGAGGAATTGCATTAGAAGGTTTCTGCAGTTTGCTGGCTGGAATGTGGGGTTCGGGCACTGGTTCAACAACTTTAACCGAAAATGTTCATACAATCAACATTACGAAGGTGGCTAGCCGAAGAGCTCTGGAGATTGGAGCTCTTTTCTTAATAGCTTCCTCGTTTTTAGGTAAACATCCAAGAGACTTAAGCCCCGCCTTCAAAATTATCGATGAATCTTCTAAAAAAAGGAGTCTTTATCCACGGGTTGTTGAGATGATCCATAGAAGATTCTGCTTGTTTCTGGAGTTTTACCAAGAAGAAACTCGATTCAAAATGATCATTGAATCTTCTTAAAAAGGAATCTTTTGAGATGATTCATTGAACATTCTGCCTGTGTGTTGAGTTTATCACGTCACTGATGGATTCATAACACACCATTCGATGTTGCAGGAAAGATAGGAGCAATCCTTGCTTCCATACCGCAAGCATTGGCTGCTTCAGTCTTGTGCTTTATATGGGCTCTTACTGTATCTCTCGGTCTATCAACTCTACGATATACAGAGAAATCTAGCTTTCGGAACATAACCATAGTGGGTGTCTCGTTGTTCCTCGGACTGTCAATCCCTTCATATTTCCAGCAGTACCACCCGGAATCCGTTCTCATACTACCGAGCTATTATCTTCCCTTTGGCGCTGCTTCAAATGGGCCGTTCCATATGGGCATCAAACAAGTTTGTTCCTTTCCCCCCTTCTCTTTACTTTCCCGCAAACATCAGGTTATTTTACTGAAACTACAGAAGTGGGTATCAAACAAGTTTGTCACTTTCCTTTCTCTTACTTTCCAAAATCTGTTTTCTTTTTAAACTGATATGCATTTTATACGTTGTGAACTGAAACTGCAGCTTGATTTTGCCATGAATGCGTTGCTATCTATGAACATGGTGGTCACCTTTCTGGTAGCGTTCGTGCTGGACGTGACGGTGCCGGGAAGCAAGGAGGAAAGAGGGGCGTATGTATGGTCAAGAGCCGAGGAGATGGCCACAGACCCCGAAATGCAAGCTGACTACTCCTTGCCAGGAAGAGTCGCTGGTTGTTTTGGATGCAGATGCAGATGTTTTGGTTCGTAGCCCATGTTTTCTGCTTGGGAGATTCATTTTTTACTCAAAGAGTCCTGGTCTTGTTTTCTGCGTTTCAGTCTCAGCAGCTGTATACAAAGACCTAGCATCATCTATTATACCATTCTTTGATATGTAAGAAAGGAAAAAAAATTATAAAAAAGGGTTATGAAAATAGGGCATTATCAAAAATACTCTTACTATAAATACTCTTATTTTGCTATTTTGATTTCAACACATACTCTGTGATCTATTTGATAAGAAATTTAATTTTGGTCATTTTGATTATAATATTAAATTTATGATGATCACATTCATTCATTGTGTTCATTCATATCTTATATATTTTACTAATCCTTTGATAAAAAATTTATAAATTCAATGTGATCCTTGAAGTAAAAATAGTAAACTCATATATCAGCTCCAGGGGGTGTAGCTCATATGGTAGAGCGCTCGCTTCGCATGCGAGAGGCACGGGGTTCGATTCCCCGCACCTCCACTCCTCTCTTTTTTGTTTTTTATCTGTGGGCCCTCTCTCTCTACACGAAGAAAAATATATTACTAATGGGCCTATTAAATGAGCCCATTGTCAGTATATTGATAAGCCTTTCCGTATTTATACGAGGAAGAAGAGAAAGATGAGTGAGGATGGGACAAGAAAGAGGGTCAAGAAGGACGATGCGTAGGAGAGAGCAAGAAAGGAGAACGATCAGGAGGTTGCTGAGTAAGCAAAATAGTTACGATGTGGGAGTTACATTATTATTATATTTAAGAATATTATCTCTGCGTTGTTTATGGAGGTGTGGGTTAGTGGGGAGGAATGGGTGGTGTTATTCTATATGTATCTATGTTGTTTCAGTTGAGGGGTTATCGAATGTTTGACTGAGAATTGTGGGGAGTGAGAGTGGAGGCCTCTCTTGAAACAAGCCTTTCACAGTTGTTTTTCATATTTTCTGAGTGAAATACACCTCTCTGTTCTTTGTTCTTATTAAAGTGGTATCAGAGCCTGGTTTCGATCCAGGGACATGTGGGTTATGGGCCCACCACGCTTCCGCTGCGCGTGGTAGTATTTTCAATATGCAAACTGTGCGTTTAATTTCGGTGAAAGTTTTATTCATTGTCCAAAAGGGGCGCATCATATACACTACTTGCCTATATGTGTGTGTGTAATCTCCAAAAAGCCATTCTCTGTGATTTATAAACTACTTGCCTATACATATAATACACAACACAAGTCTGAAATGGCTGCTGATTCACACAAACCAATACATATTCTCGTGAACAAGACAAATAAAAGAATCAAAGATTTGATTTTTTTTTTCCACAACAAAAAAAAAAATATAATTGACGGTGTTATAAGCTATTATGATTTGAACCTACAAAGGTGTATGCATATATATTAGCTTGCTGTGGTTATACCTGTGGGGAAAAAATGAAATAATCAGTATTTGACAACATGGTGGCGCAGCCAAAGCTCGTACATGACCATATGAAAGGCGTCGTATTTAACAGGAGGCGAGTTCCACTGGAAATGCTTCTGAACCTGCAGCGGTACAGAGGATCTTTCTCATCAGTCTTTTTTTACATTATCAAAAGATACACCCGAGAGAGTGATGATGATGTTATTATTGCAAAGGGTAGGTTCCAAAAAAAAAAAAAAAAAGCTGACAACTTTACCTCGACTAAGTTGTTGTGGAGCGAGACAAACTCCTGATGAGTTATGTCTTTGAGAATCTGTTTGAGGCTGTAGACATCCCGTTCTCTGAGCACGACGGCAAATTTTCTCCAATCGAGGATGTCGTTGAAGGGAAGATCGTAATAGTCTGACAGTATTACTGATAAGAAAAGAAACAAAGAAAAACAGAGCGGAAAATCAGAGCTAGATACCGGAAATATTGAGGTATTGAGATAAAGTTCCTTTTTAGAAGTTGTATGCTTTTTCTTTGCCAATTCATCTTTACTATTCGCAGATATGAATATGGCAGTTTGACAAATGATTGTCTGATCACGAGATCCGAAGAGGGTAAAAGTGTAAAACAATACGTACCGGGAATACACCCGTAATGGATCGAGTCCGTTATGCGAGCACTGTTGACCTGGGAACCACCGGGGCATATGCAGAATTTGGTCCTGTAGAATCTTTTCTGATACACTAGATGTCCAGTAGCCCTATTTATTCTGTTGTTCGAAATATCGAGTTCTGTATCGTTCTCCCACACACGTGCAAGTATGACTCTAATCTTGGAATTACGATGACCTGCCCAGAAACCGAGGGTCGTCCTGTAAAACCAACCTTTGTATTAGACAATTAGTTACATTAAAAAAAATGGAACAAAATTTCCCTGGTAGATCCAAAAATTATTGCAAACCGACCATGATCCTGCTTCTAGGATACAATTTGCTTCAAAGAAAACAAGGGCTGTTAAAGGGCATACCGAATCAAAATATTTACGAATCTATCACTAATCACAGCATAAAACACTAAAACACTGACTGTTCAGAAGAAAGTTAGCAATAGAGCCATGACCAACTCAATCAACAACTAGCAAGCTGAATTATTACACTTAATCCCCATTCAATTTAATTGGATGTATCAAGCAAAACTGGAAATAATCATCTGCAGTCTCTTCGACGTTCCCTTTTCCCTATGTGAAACATATTCAAGAAGGGAAGAAAACCAAAAGAATATGGATAAGTACTACTTGCCGGTTTTCGATGTCATTTCCACCAGCGGGAAGTGCGAAAGGCTGAAGCACTTGCGGCAATGCGACGTCTTTGTGAGGAATGAAACTGACATTGTAACTAGGAGAGCACACCACTCTAATTGCATTCTTCACAAGAAGCTCGACTCCCTCAGTTGCCCTAACGCCGACATCATGACAGGTGACAAAGAAATGATCTGCTCCTAAGGTTCTATTCCAATAAGGGTACTTAGCTATCAAGCTATCCACATAATCGTGGACGATCACCGTCATGTTTTCGTATGATGTTCCCTGCACAAGATCACACACATGTTATCAATATCTCATGAAGATCGTATCAGAGAATTAGTCAAACTATCGATTCTCTCAATTCTAAGACTGGGTACTGAATTCAATTACGATTCTCACAAAAACTAAAACTGATTCAGATCAACAAAGGTTCCCCAACCAATCCTAATTTCACAAACAATCTACAGTTCCTAGACCTACTACCTAATACCAACAGTGATCAATTTTTTCCAGCGCCAAATGGGTATGAAACAGAACTAGAAGAGCGTTCGATTGTATTTGTTACCTTGCCTCGCATCTTGTGACACGAGATCGGGATGAAGAAGAGATCCGCTTCCTCTGGATCTAGGGTCCGGAACCGGCTCTCTCTGATGTTCTGAAAGAAATAGCCTTCGCTTGCATATTTTCCTGTCATCTTCCTAGGCGTCTGATAGAACGTCTTAGGATCGCCGTCGGGATAGATGTAAACCTTGAATCTCCTCTCCATTTCCTCGTAATTCAACCGGAAAACCTCCGGTGAGTGATAAACGTCCGGAAATTTCACCGATTCAACTCCGTCTTTGCTCTGGTCGCTGCTACCGTACTCTGCAATGGCCTGAGTGGGAAAAATCCGTCCGGTCAAAACCGGAATCGAAGGAGAAGTTCGTAGGGAGTTAAGAGAGAGATAGAAGAGCGAGAAGAAGGTTAGGAGAGCGACGGAGACTATGGCCCCTCTGAGCGAACAGAGCGGCGGTGCTCCGCCGGAGAAAGAGAACTGCGGCGATTTCGCGGTGGCCATCGGCCGGATCTGCGAAATCCACTCTCGTACTAGCTGTCGTCCGAGCCCACCCGCTGCCTCGGTTAAATTCCATTTAATTTTAGCATTAAAATAACCCGCAAAAATAAATAAAAATTCCATACGTGCGCGCGTATTGTATTCCACATCCGTATGTTTGACTTTGAATTTGGAATTTAATCGGTATTAAAAAAAAGGACTAGCGATTAATTACTGCGTGGGTCCAAAATCTGTATTTTAAATTAAGGTCAAAATAAAGAAGAAAAATAAATGGAAAGTTTATCAAATACGTAGAAAGTTTATCAAATACACGTGTATATATGTACAAAATTTAATGTGGTGGACTGCGACCGTCAAATGTGTTGTTATGTGATTATTATCATTATTATTATTTTCATTATTAATCCACGGTTACCGTATTTTAAGGTTCTGTTAAGGTTGCCTGAATTTATAAACCGACAAAATTTATCTTTCCTTTATTGTTAGATAGAAACGGCTCCGCGTTAATCCTCCCATCCCGAAATATTTCTCTAATGTTGATGAATGAATAAAACTCTACTACCAGAAGTCAAAGTAACTCTATCTACTTAGGTTTCTGTTTACCTACTTTTTTCTATCTTTTTAAAAATTTAATTTCCTTTTTTGTTTACCTATTCTTTCTAGGTTTTGGACTTTCTTTACAAAATTAATCATATATATATATATATATATATATATATATATATATATATACAAGTGTTATGCAACGATGTTCGCGGTATCACATTGTCGTGTTCGGTCACCTTAAGACAACGATGCCGAAGAAGAGAACAGTTGCGAGCTTCTGTGTTATCTTATCGCTCCTTCTTCTGCCACTCGTGCTCTCCGTGCCTACAAGGTCTCTCTCTCTCTAGATCTCTCTCTCTCTCTCTCCATATTTTGATGAATTTGGTTTGTTCGTATTTCGATTCACGAGCAAACTGCATTCTTTTTTTTATAATATGGTTTCGGAATCACGCATAGACTTTCGTTTCTGAATAATGTCTATGGAATATCGGATTTAGATCCTGGTTTTGCTGATTCTAGGGTTTTCATCTCTGTAGTATAGTAACCGACTTACGAAAAAAAGTTGATCAAATTTGTTAAATTTGGGGTTTTGCATTCGAGAATATGCTGTTGAAAGTTTCACAGTTTCTGTTTCTCTTAATTATTATCTCGTCAAAACCCTAATCCTTGAGTTATAACGCAATCAATATATAAACGTTCCAACGCATGCAAATAACGTTTTACGTGCCATAAATTTTGGCAGGAACCGAACTCCTACAGTTGAGCAGATTAGAAACAGACATGGAGAAAGAGAGGTATATATATATATATTTGTATCAATGTGATTGATATTAATTAGTTCAATAACGGTCCAATACCGGTTTAAATAATCTGTTGAAACAAATTTGAAATATTGGTATTATTTATATGTTACAATAAAATATTAAAAAAATTTCAGGTGATAGTTGACAATGGGATCATCAGGGTCAGATTCTCGAGTCCGCAAGGGCTTATCACAGGGATCATATACAAAGGGATTGATAAGGTGCTCAACCCACGTCTCCGAACTCGAGGGTAATTAAGGACTTAATTAAACATTTTGTTTTTAAGGCAATGAACAATATATGCATTATGTTATAATCCCGTCATATGATTAATTTAGATGTAAGTATTTTGGATGTAAATTTGGTCTGTGCATGCATATTGGTGATATAGTTTGTTATTTTCTATTGCAATATCGGTGTAGATATTGGGACATTACTTGGCAAGCAGAAGATATCCCAATGCGCTTAGATAGGTAATGTTTATATATATATATATATATATGCAAATGCACTCTATATTTCGATATCTGAAATGCATTGTTTGAATAAAAATAACGTATGTATTATTAATTGTAACTAATAAACGATACGAATTTATTCAAATTTTTTTAGAGTGGAAGGCACGAAATTTAGAGTAATAAATCGGAATGAAGAACAAGTGGAAATTTCATTCACTAGGACGTGGGATTTCTCTATGCATGGCTCTCACGTCCCATTAAACGTGGACAAAAGGTAACTATACTATATAAAATGTTCACGTAGTTATTTATAAAAACGTCGAATTATTATCTCCATATATATTTCAGTGGGATTTCATACGTAAATCCGTGTTTTTTTTTGTAAACAAACCCTAACCGAACTAAACCAAACCAAACCACCGATAACCATATATTCATTCTAATAGGTACATAATACGCAACAACAGCTCCGGAATCTACACGTACGGAATCTTCGAACGACTACCAGAATGGCCAGAGGTCGAGATGGGTTTGATCCGAGTCACTTTCAAACTCAACCCGGAAAGGTATCTGCATACATACATACATACATACATGTACATATATATTATTCAACCTATTCAATGTAGGTAAATATATTAGATATATATCAGTTATGGAAACATTTTGTAGATTTGATTACATGGCGGTGGCCGATGAACGGCAAAGAGAAATGCCGAGAGACGAGGACCGAGACATCAGACATGGACGAGCCAAGCCCCTCGATTACAAAGAAGCTGTCCTCTTGACTAATCCCCATAACCCATCATTCAAAAATGAGGTATTAATAATAATAATAATATCACCCAATAAATATAAATTTAACGAGTAACAAATTAGGTGGACGACAAGTACCAATACTCGTGCGAGATCAGAGACAACAAAGTACATGGTTGGATCTCGACCAACTCACGTGTCGGCTTCTGGATCATCTCACCAAGTGCCGAGTACCGATCCGGTGGGCCCATCAAGCAGGAGCTCACCTCCCATGTGGGACCCACCGCCATCTCGGTACGATTACTCAACCCATTTTCTTGAACCCCTTATATATATATATATATATATATATATATAAATATATATATATATTGAAAAACAATGCCTTTTATTTTTATTTTTTAATTTGGGGCAGACATTTATAAGCGAGCATTACATTGGTACGGACATGGAGACACAGTACAAAGCTGGAGAGTCGTGGAAGAAAGTGTTGGGCCCTGTTTTTATATACATGAACTCAGATTCTAATGGAGAAGATCCTCACATTAACCTCTGGGAAGACGCCAAGCGACAGGTCTGATTAATTAGATGCTTTTAATTAATCTTTGGGTTTATGCGACTGATTAATAGAAGATTATAACACTAATCATGGTTTAATTGATTGTCCAACAGACCCAAGAGGAAGTTGAAAGCTGGCCGTACGGTTTTGTAGCGTCGCCGGACTTCACTTCTCGACAGGAAAGAGGAACGGTCAGAGGTCGACTGCTAGTGAACGATGGGTACGTACGTACGTATATACATTTATACAAATACACATACAAATTATGATATTATTTTAGATCATTTGTTCATTTGTTTATTTATTTATTTTACTATATGCTTTAATAATTAATTATCTTTCTTGAAAGATTTGAAACGCCGGCAAGATTTGCTCACGTGGGGTTGGCACCGCCGGGAGAAGCCGGTTCTTGGCAGACAAATACAAAGGTTTTCTTACTTCGAGTGTTTTTGTATATATGATATATATACACACACGATTTCAATCATAATGAATTATTATACCACTTACACACACACATATATATTGTTGGATCTGATTCTTCAGGGCTATCAATTCTGGGCAGAGACGAACGAGACTGGGTATTTCACGATAGATAACGTTAGGCCAGGGACTTACAATCTGTACGGATGGGTCCCCGGCATTATCGGAGACTATAAACATCAATATGATGTTGTAATAACTCCAGGTTCCGAAATCATGCTCGGTGAAATCGTGTACGAACCTCCTAGGAGTGGTCCGACGTTGTGGGAAATCGGTATACCAGACCGAACAGCTGGAGAATTCTTCGTACCGGAGCCTTACCAAACGATGATCAACACATTGTACCTAAACCACACCGATAAGTAAGCTTCCTATGTTCATTTATCCGGTTTACCTTAAGCAGAACCCGAAAACCAAAAGAAAAATCCGGCTCGATTATCATAAACTGGTTTGGTTTTGATTGTTGTTCCACAGGTTCAGACAGTACGGTCTGTGGCAACGCTACACTGAGTTGTATCCAAATCAAGATCTCGTCTACAAGATCGGAACCAGCGATTATGAAAAAGACTGGTTTTACGCTCATGTCACTAGGTAAATCACATATATTGAATAACCAAACCATATATATATATATATAATCAATCGGCGCATTTACATGGATCTACAGGCGAGTAGACGGCTCGACATACGCATCAACGACATGGCAGATCGTTTTCGACATATCATCGTCTCTTAGCCGACAAGGAAATTACACCATGCAACTGGCCCTGGCCTCAGCTTCGCAGGCAGTGCTACAAGTCCGGTTCAATGATGAACACTCGATACCGATCTTCGCAACGGGACATGTCGGAAGAGACAATGCGATCGCAAGGCATGGGATCCATGGGAGGTACAGACTGTACAGCATAAACGTGCCCGGGAGATTGCTAAGGAATGGGACCAATACCATATATCTTAGACAGGCTAAGGCCGAGGGTCCATTTCAAGGTCTAATGTATGACTATATTCGCCTCGAAGAACCTCCAATAACCTTAGGATATTAGTTTTTTTTTGGGTGATTTGGTAGGTTATTAGTTGTAAAAAGAGTTTTAAGGACAGGAATTGATAATGTTCCATGTTATGTAAATGGGCTACTAATGTTGTTCCATTTATATATTCTTTATTTTTAATGTTGCCAACTAAGATTACTGAAGTACATAATATTACAAAAAAAAAAATGGAAACTGTTATCAATTTGAATGATATGTCATTTCGAATCCATCATATTTAAAAAAAAAGGGAGTTATTTTCCAAAACATTTAGAACACATAATATTAATGTGTAATTATAATTATAAACAATACAGACCCAAATTAAATGAGAGAAATTTACCCCAACACAGGCCCAATGGGCCTGAATAAGATCCCAGCCCATTTATAACCTCCCGTACAAGGTCGTACTCTCAAAATCAAAGCCCAGTCTCTCTCTCTCTCTCTCTCTCTCTCTCTCTCTCTCTCTCTCTCTCTCAGTTTTCTCGCTCTGCGTAGAAAACGGTAGAAAGTTAAGCAGTGGTATCCAAGTCGGAAATCGCTCGGCTTTTCCATGTAAGACGTTCCACTGTATAGTTTATGATGAAACGAAATTCCAGTTACCCGGTCCACTGGGAACTAGGGTTTCACAACCGCAACACGTGCGACGGGGAGAAACGAAACTATAGGTGCTGATACGCATGATTCCGGTGATTCTTTGTCGGATTTGATGCTATGTGATCCGAATTCGAGACTTCTACCGACCGATTTTACAAGACCCAGGTGGGTTCCTCGTTCTTTCCCTCATTTTATGAATTCGGTTGTCTTCTTCATGTGGGTTTTCAGAAAGGAATTTCACGGGCAATTTTCTCGGAACTCGGATCCTGATTCTCTTGGCCAAATTCACTGGTTAAAAGCAATACGATTAGGGCTGTCTCGGGCTATGTCTACAGGCTCGAGTTTTTCCCTGATTGGATCTCTCAATATATGATGAAAAGACTATAGATTTAGTCAATTTGACTGAATTTGATTGGGAAACGAAAATTTATGGCCCAGTTTAAAGAAAGAGTGAGCCTTTTATATTCCCAGGTAAACTTCTGGAAATTTGTCATAGATATTTGCCATTTTGAATTCGTATACCTACAAACTGAGTTTTGGCTTATGTTTGTTGCATAAGGCAGTTTCTCCATGTCTATATGTTTGTTTACGGAGTTACCTGTTAGCAGATGAGATCTTGATGTTCATAAATGTCGTGAGCCACAGCTAGAAGGTTTTAGATTCTGCCTTGAATATCCTCCATGATACCTATTTCGAAGGAGGAGATGTGCTAAGAACAGATGAGCCTATAGTTGAGGCCGGAGACTATCCATTCATATATCAGTCAGCACGCGTCGGGAACTTTAGCCATAGGTCGTTGAACAATCTTTCCCTCCAGGAGAAGATTTGTTGATTTCCATTTCCCCGAGATTAGTATTACCAGCGGACCTAAGGGGACAAGGGCGTTCGATGTTTATGTCCAAGAAGACAAGGCGAGTGGACCAAAATGTCATTTTAGTGTATATACAGATTGAAACTTTGCTTAGTGCTAACAAAATTGTTTCTGCAATGTCAGATCCTAGCCCAGTTTGACACTTTCTCGGTAGTTGGCCGGAACAGAACACTCCTGTTGGTTGGCTTAAGCCATGGACAGAAGATGGAGTGATTACGATAAATCCAGCTGGTTTGCGGTAAGGAAAGCACCAGAAAATCTCAGGTAATGATGTTTCTATTTTTCTTTCACCGAATCTAAGTTCTTCTCTGTGCTTGTTAAACCCATGAAAACAAGTTCCCCTGTTTTACAATTTCTATTTCATGCATGACATTTTTCACAGTTCCTTCAGAAGATTATACCATTGTGAAGCTGAAATAGAGATATTCTCGAGCTCTCGGGTACCGATTTATTTAGCATGCTGGTTTCTCTTTTTCAAGAATTAGTTACATGCCCGAGCAGAAGAGAAGCTTATGATAGCGAAAACTCGAGGCCGGTGTATGAGGAATAAGATACGAGAGCGAGCTTTCGAGGCAATTCCAGCTTAAGACTAATGAGCGGGCTAGAGAGAGTGATGATAAAACACATGAAAAAAAATGGGAAATTTTCCATATCACCCTCTTACATCTTTGATGGGATCTCCGTTATAACCAAGTTTGTCGCATATATTCCGTGACTTGGTCTGTTTGATAACGTGCACCGGCACGCGTGCATGCATGCATGTATGTATGATCCTCTTAACCATGTGTTTACGTGTGTGTGTGTGTGTGTGTATGTATATGTCATATGCTACTTTATTGTCAAGAAATGATCAGAGATGGAAAATCACGTTTGATCTCATCTCACATAGAGTCATGGGTTTGTTGCATGTCTGCGTAAGCCTAAATCCATCCTTTCTTCACGTTCTTCGCACTTCTTCTATTGCTTCCATACGTTTCTTCTTTTTTTTTTCGTTTTATACATTCGAAATCTCTTTCTTTTTCCTTTTTTGGATAAAAAATACACGCAAATATTCATACAATAGACCTATAAGTAAAATAAATTGCGTATACGCGTATTTCTCCTTCTTTCCTGGTTATTCTATGTTTACTATCTAGCTATGTATATATATGAAGAATCATTAACGTACGAATACGTATACATGCATGCACATATAGCTATATATATATATATATATATATATAAGTTGATGTATTGATTTGTTCATAAAAAACGAAAAAAGACGTGAAAAACTACAGAGAATGGTGGTGAAAAAGGGGACATAAGTCTCAGTCACTTTGATGGTACGTTTCCATTGACACAACTGAGAGAATCTAATTCCGACTGATCGATCTGACACATTAGAACATATCTTACATATATATATATATATATACGACGTACACTGTCTCTCCATATCCTCGATAACCTAGAACTATAATGTATTTTTTAAAAATAATCCACGTCACATAATATAATTAGATCCTAATTTAAATAAATTGAAACAAAAACGATTACCTTTTCGACCGCTGTGGACTAAATCCGTAGCTCCACTCTTGTCGTCTTCTCTCTCTCTCTCGGCCTTAATAGTGGTAACAGTATCAATAATGACATCTCTACTATCTAATGATGACCATTAGAGGGTTAACTAGGGCAAATCACTCCAAGCTTGGAACCCATGCCAATTCCCCATATTGCCATCGCCGTTCCCATTATTCTCAACGCTGCCACTGACCGCCGTTGCAGCAGATGATGAGGAGGGGAAAGACTGAAGGAGAAACCCTGGATTCCCGAAAAACCACTCCGTCGCCGTCGATGAAGATTCTCCATTTGCCACAACATTGATTCTCTCTCTCGCCGGGAACTCACCGGCGACGATACTTTCCGGAGAAGCAGTCGGAGGGAGTATATCGAGATTCTGAAACACTGCCGGAGAATCGCCGTTTCCGGCGGTCTCTTTCTGGTTGCGGTCAAAGTGTTCGCCGAAAAGCGAGGCGAGTCTCTGCTGCTGAAGCTTCCGGTGCAAATCTTGGTTCAAAGAACTCAAAGATTCAATCGACGATGCGAGATTCGCATCTACGGTCAAAGACCCCACGTGGGTGTTATTTTCCGGCAACAAGGAGACGGAAAATCCACCGGAACTGATAGCTAATCCGGTAGCAGACGAAGGGTTCATCACTCTGTTCGAATTCAACCCACCAAGATCACGATGAGACGCTAAACCAGGACAAAACTTGAACCCGCCAGTACTTATGTTGTCGGAAGAATCTAATCTGTAAGAATCAGAGAGAATCGAGGAAGAAGGAGAAGACTTGAGGGGCCTCCTGTGCTTACGGGAACCGCCGCCGACGGGGACGTTGCGTAGAGCGCCGCCGCGTGTCCAGTAGCGGCGGCAGTTCTTGCAGAAGTGTCGGGGCTGAGACAAGCTGTAGTTGTTGTAGTAACAGAACTTTGTGTTCGTTGAATCGCATCTCGGACACCTCACCGGCGGCTCCTGCGGCTTCGACGGTGGCGGTGGCGGTGGTGGCGGCGCCTTCCGATGAATTTCTTCTCTGATCGGGAGCTTCGATGCTGATGTCATCATATGAATGGTGATTATGAAGAAAAAAATTCTTTTTTTTTTCGCAATAGAAATTATGGGTGAAGAAGAGAGATTGGATTAAAGGGTGAGGAAAATGAATAGTTTCATGGGTGCATGGGAAAGAGAGAGAGAGAGAGAGATGGAGTCGTGATTTACATGAATCTTCTTTTTCTTTTATAATTATTATTATTATTATTATTTTGCCCTTGTTTGGTTTTATGATGATGAAAAAATAATAATGCTACAAGAGACTGTTTATATAAATGCAGATGTATATATGTGTATACATATGTACATATATACTCATACATATGAACAGTTGCATATGCATTTTTGACATAGTGTTAAAAACATCAAAAATTGCTAAGAGTTCATTGACCGAGTCCATAGTCTCGGGAGTGTAACAAATAATTTCAAGACAATATGAAATGAAAATCTAAAACATTTAAAATTTAAAAAGAAATCAAGTACAACTTGTTAGATAGTTTATGTCTTGTCTTCACTCAAATGTTATTTGTGTTTTACTTTTAATTATCATGATAATATTGTATATGGTTTTGACTAATCATATGGATCTCAATTGGTAATCTAATTTCTTAATTTGGTAACAACGTTAACGTTGTATTTATTTTAAATATTACAATCTGACATATTTTTCCAATATTTACATATACTTAATATATCTAGAAATTTACCAGAAATATGGAATCGAACTCTCTATACAGTCACGATCACAACGATTTCCACACCCAATCAATAAGCTTAATACTCTAACAATATTAATACCATGCATTAGTAGTTGATCTAATTTCCTAAAATTATGTTATTCCTCGTGTAATTAGGCCTCACAAACTTTTTTTTTTGGACCACAAGATTTTTTGTGATATGGAAAACTATAGGATTGCACTAACCACATTTACTTTTTCTATAGTTATATATGATTGAATATAGGATGGTTCTATGCATAAAGTGGACTTCCAGACATATGCCAATATGTACATTGTACATATATATGTATACATATATATATATATATATATATATATATATATGCATATATATATATAGGCTTTGAAGAAGTGCTTGTGGCGATGAGATTCACGAGAGAACAGAAACTCAATTAGAGTGTTATTTGCATTAATCTTAAGTTTAATTATAGGCGGCGCCGAGGGAGTGCACAGCCTCCTACATAACATATAATGCACACTATTACAACGCTTTATATTTTATCACGTTCCATGTAATTATAGTAGTAGAACTGTAGAAGCAAATTCGAGCTATATCTCGCAATCAATGCATGGAGAAATTTAGCGGCTTAATTTATCGATCAAATTGTATGATTAATCTAACTCATAATTATGTGATGGCTACGATTGAAACTATATCAATAAATAATTTTTCCATGCATAATAATAATGTTAAGCATCATGTAATTTATGAAATAAAAAAGGATTTGCGGAGTTAGTAAGGACTTCGCCCTTCATTCATCCGAGAGGTTGTGGGTTCGACTCATTATCCATTCGTTTGTCGTTTGTTAGTTAATTAAGTATAGAACTGTTATAAATAATGACAAAACTAATAGATTGATCGGAATCTTGTGGAGTATTTGGTTGATTTATCTTCCATGCCTATGCCGCGTACTCGTGCACGTGGATGAATTCACCCAATCAAACTATTCGAAAGATAACAGTTGGAGTTCCCACAATAAAAAAAACACAATAAGTTGAAGCCATATCTCATATACAATAGAATTCTTTCGAGGAAATATCTCGTAATGGGTTTGATGAATCTATTGGAAGTGTGACATTGAACGAGATGCCGAAGAGGACAAGAATCCTTGATCTCCCCGACAGGATCCGTCTTAAGATTCTTGTTTTTTTTTGGTGGGTTGAGAAAGGGTGTGATCATTCTGGTTTCGTCTTTAAGATTTGGGCATAAACTAAATTAAAGAGCCAAATAAATAACAACGGCTCCTTCATTGCATTATATCAAAAATACCCTTAATTTGCTATTTGTACTTCAAGACCTACCCTTGTGACCATGTGATCAATGTGACCGAAATATAGTGTGGTCACATTTTGATTTTATCGATTATAACGTTAAATTTATGGTGATCACACTAATTCATTATGTTCATACTTTGTATATCTTACTAATCATTTGATTAAAACATCATAAATTTAACGTTATAAACAATGAGATCAATATGTGACCACACTATATTTCGGTCACATTGGTCACATGGTCACAAGGGTAGGTCTTGAAGTACAAATAGCAAAGTAAAGGTATTTTTGATAATGGCCTATTTCCCTTAATGGACTCGTTAGGGTTTAAATACAATTACGGGTTGTAATTTGTAACAGCTGTGTATGTATATGTATGCATAGTCTATAGAAACGTGATTATATACGACCGGCCCACATAATAATAATAATAATAATAATAATAATAATAATAATAATAATAATAATAATAATTCAGGCCGGACATTTGATCTATAATAAGTTACATAAGAGGACATGATGATGATGATGATGATGATGATGATGATGATGATGATGATGATGATGATGATATTCATATATGGGATGGTTAACGTGAAGGAGAAAGCGAAAGACCAAAACAAACACGTGACTTGTGAGAGTGTTGATCCTCGTGATCTCCCTACAAACAGAACGATTCTTCTTTCTTAGATCCATTCCCCCACAAAAAAAAAGTCAAATCATTAGTTTTCTTGTTTTTCCTCGTATTTCTCGTCATAACAATGTCCATATAATTTATCGAATAATCTATATTTTTGTTATTCTTTTGTGTGTGTATATATATATATATATCGTGAAATAGATGACGAGAAGTTCAAGAATAAAGAAACTGTTGAGGATTTTATGTTACTTCGATCGTTTATCACGGATCAGTAACACGAACCCCGTGAAACTTACTATGATTCTCTCATCGGTTTCTGTATTCACATCCCTCACAAATATATACACGTACAGTGTTATATGGAAATGAGTACATATATGGTAATGTATATGTCAATGCGTAATGTCCTATGTTAGGCCATAGATTCCGCTATCACTCCCCCACAGTCGTAGCGGAAAATGGTTGAACGCTTAGACTGGACCGAAACTCAAGGAATAGCGAAGTCGGCAGGCCCTTGGTGAATATATCCGCATATTGAGAGCTTGAAGGGACGTGGTGCACCCGAACTTGGCCGATAGCTACTTTCTCCCGAACAAAGTGGATGTCAATTTCGATGTGCTTCGTTCTTTGATGTTGAACCGGATTAGCCGACATGTAGACCGCACTCACATTATATATCACAAAAGACCACAGTAGATTGCGTGAGCGGAGAATGTAATTCAGTTAGGAGATTGCGTAGCCAACAAGTTTCTGCTACAGCATTTGCAACACCCCGATATTCGGCTTCGACACTAGAACGCGATGCTGTGTGTTGGCGTTTAGATGACCATGAGACCAAGTTATCCCCAAGAAACACATAGTATCCAGATGTCGATCGACGTGTATCAGGGCAACCAGCCCAGTCGGCGTCGGAGTAGGCTGTTAGAGTCGATAGAGGAGATTTGGTCAGCTGAATACCGTGATGTATAGTCCCAGGAACGTACCTGAGTATATGTTTCAGAGCGTTCATGTGAGGCTCTCGAGGGTCATGCATGAAGAGACATATTTGTTGAACCGCATACGCAATATCGGGGTGTGTAAACGTGAGATACTGAAGCGCTCCTACAAGACTTCGGTACAATGTCGGATCTTCAAACGGGTTACCAATGTCAGCAGCAAGTTTGGATTTCGTGTCGGCTGGCGTTTGACACGGGTTACATGATTCTAGATTGGCCTGATGTAGAATGTCCAATGCGTATTGTGACTGACTCAAAAATAATCCTTGCTTAGTTGTTGTAGCTTGCACGCCAAGAAAGTAGTGTAATTGACCGAGATCCGTCATAGAAAATTCTCCATGCAGTGACGTGATAATGTCATGTAAAAAGGCAGGTGTGGATGCTGTGAGAATAATATCGTCCACATATAGGAGAAGATACGCCGTTCCTTTTATGTTGTGCATGATGAAGAGTGAGGTGTCGCATTTGCTATGATGGAAACCAATCTTCCGAGCAAAGTCCGCGAAGCGATGGAACCAAGCCCTTGGGGCCTGCTTTAAACCATAGAGGGACCGACGGAGGAGACAAACATGATCCGGTTTCTCACGATTCGTAAACCCCGGTGGTTGATGTATGTACACCGTGTCATGTAGATTTCCATGGAGAAATGCATTTTTGACATCTAGTTGATGCATCGGCCACTGTCGAGACAAAGCAATGGTGAGGACGACTCGTATTGTAGCCGGTTTAACCACGGGGCTGAAAGTGTCTCCATAATCAAGGCCCGGTTGTTGTGACTTGCCGTTCACCACGATACGTGCCTTGTAGCGTGCATGTGTTCCATCTGCATTGAACTTATGCCTGAAAAGCCATATAGAACGAACCACATTAACCCCGGGGGGTCGGGGAACCAAGTCCCACGTCCCGTTTTTAATAAGAGCATCATACTCCTCATACATTGCCACACGCCAAGGGTGATTCTTTAAAGCAAAGAGATGGGATTTTGGTAGGGGGAGATATGGTTTGTTACTAGAGATAGAACCTGTTTTCTTTTTGTGATTCCCGATTTGCTTCGGGTTGTCATTGAGTGTGGGACAAGGGTAGATGTCGGAGCAATGTTCGAGACTGTGGTATTGGTGTTTGTGGTTGAGGTTGTCGTCGGTGGTAATGTGGTGGTGTTTGTGTGAGGTCTGGTTATGGACGTCGTCATTGAGTCTATGGGCAACTCTCTTAGTGTTCGAAAGATATAATTTGTTTCGGTGACTTTATCAAGAAAATCATAGGAAGTTGGTGAGTGTGTCGTGAAAGTGGAGAAAGGAAACGTGTTCTCGTCGAAATAGACATGACGAGAGATGATGATTTTTCGGGTGGCGAGATCAAAACATCTATAACCCCGATGGTGAGAGGGGTAGCCGAGAAAGACACACGGGGTTGATCTAGGCGAGAGTTTGTGAGGTGTTGTGGGTAGAAGATTTGGATAACATAAACACCCAAAAATACGTAGGTGAGATAG